TTTCAAAGAATGATGAAGAATGTTGTTTTTACTGACCCACTGTACATTATTATGCTATGGTAAGTATTTCATCACTGCGCTAAATGACTTCTTCATAACTTATTTATGAAATATGTAATTATAGATTATTCATTTTAACGTAGATTTCGTCACGAACCAACACCACTCAGAGACCACTGAAAGTCAGGACACAGTGGACAGATGTAGTGTCCCAGATCTAGGACTCCTCAGTGGTGCATAGCCAAAACCTCGACAAACACTGAACCATAGACCTTCAGACTACGAGGTCAAGCCAGTTGACCATTTAGTCACTTGGGTGGGAATTCAATGACCCATCAATTCTAATTTCTGTCAATTTTTGATATAACGCTATCCTCAACTAATACCTTCTATGAGCATTGCCTTGACCTGGTGTATGCTACCAACCACAATTTCTTAGTACAGCTTGAAAAAATCTATCCAGCAGCCACCAATGAGCCAGAGATCGGCGCTTAGATTACGCGTTTGTGTAGGGAATCGATGTGCTCTCCGGTTTTCAGTGATCTCTAAATGATGTTGGTTTTTGAGGTAATCTAAACTGAAATTAATCCCAATTGCTACAAAAAAATCTAAATCTAAAGTATTCAATGAATTATTATACCACTTGACTATTTAAATACCTATTATTGGAAAATATAGTATATATATAGACTTTGAAAAGGCCTTCGATGGTGCAGCGTCGATCGAGAGGTGATTTGGAAACTACTTCGCTACTACTGTGGGGTCCCATCGACAATTATACATTTCATCCAACAGTTATATGACAATGCTGCATGCCAAGTAATCCACAACGGGAAACTTACGGAAGCCTTCTAAGGGAGAACGGGAGTGAGGCAAGGCTGTCTACTATCACCAATGATCATCCTGATTGCAGTAGATTGGATAATGCGACAGATAGAGGACGGCCAATGAGGGAACAGGCATAAAATGGACTCACACAAAAATAGAACTTGGAGGATCTGGACTTCGCCCACGATGATATATGTCTGATCTCCCACTAACTGGAAGCTATGCAGGTGAAAAGCAACAAGTTGGCAGAAGAAGCATCCAGAGAAGATAGGACTTCAAGTGAACATAGATAAAACAGAGGTGATGAGAATTCCTGGCCAACACCAACAGCAACAACAACAACAGACAACAATTAGGCAGCATAAATGGGAGGAACCTGAACGAAACAACCTCCTTCACCTGCCTACCTGGGAAGCATCATTTCAACTACAGGCGGACGGAACTAACGAGGATATCAAAGCCAGAATCGGAAAAGCGAGACAGGCTTTCATTACCCTTAAGTCTGTGTGGAAGTCAACATCACTCAGCATCAAAAATAAGATCCGGATTTTCAACTCCAATGTGAAGTCAGTCAGTGCTACTATTACTAATAATAATAATAATCACTTTATTCCACAACAATAAAAATTTACAGCATGGAATTTTCAGCGTTTCTTTTACATATTGCAATGGTTTAGCTCTGTTTATAATTATATAAATATATAAAATGTTAAAATATTGATAGTTAATAGTTAAAAATAATAAAAAAATAAATAAAAATAAAAAACCCAACAAAATCATACCATTTCTAGGTCATAGTGAATAATAAATAAATAATATAACAAATAACACTTGCATTAATATGCATCATTTTATTTTATAGTTTAGTTACTGATTCAAAAGTTGTAAAAGTTCTTTTCTGATATTTGTCACTTCACACAATACTCGTGCCAAATATGGAACGGTCGAATTTTTATATTTTGTAGTACGAGCATAAATGTTTATAAAATTTCTTCTGGTCTTACCCGAAGAGATACAAGGAAACAATTGTGAATAAAGAGGATGTTCACTATCAGATAAGATAACTTTAGCTAAGTGTTTACAAGAATTTATATGCCTATTGACAACAGTGTCATTTAGTTCAGTCAAAGGGATAGCACTGACCCTACTTACAGCCCTCAATGTTCTTCGTAGTATTATATGATCTTTCTTGAGTAGCCCAGGGAAGAATAATGGAGAACAATAAAGAATGATGGGCAAAACACATGAATTAATAAATTGTATGATAAGAGATTGAGTTATACCTGAGTGTCTCAACTTCTTTATGTAATAAGTCAGACGGAAAACTTTCTTAGAAACTATAAGAATATGAGACGACCAGCAAAGATTTGACGAGAAACTAATGCCAAGATAAGAAACACTTGACTTACTCTCAATCATGGTACCATCAATATTACTACAATCATGAGATTGAATCAATCTATGCATGTCTTTTTCACTTCTCAAGCTGAAATCTACAGTGTTACATTTAGTTGGATTTAGTTTAAGACCATTTGAGCGAGACCAATCCTTAACTTCAGCTAGGAAGCCATTCATATAGGAACAATCCGATGTGGCAACTACAGGGACAGAAACGGTCAGGTCATCAGCATACTTAATGAAGTTAACTTTGGGTGAGTTCGGAAGGTCATGCAGAAAGAAAGAGAAAAGAAATGGAGAAAGTACTGCACTATACGGATCAGAGACTTGCACTGCGCGTCATAAAGAGCATCTCCAACAAACTTCAGACCTTCATTAACAGTTGTCTTCGCTCAATACTCAAGATCATATGGCCAGTCAGAAAAGATCAGCAGCAGGGTGGGATCTCTGGCAATGAGCGAACCAACACAGCAGGAACCGATTGTGAAACAAATAGGCAGGAAGAAATGGAGATGGATTGGCTGGCCATACTCTGAGGAAACCATCAAGTGACATCACTAGACAAGCCATTGCTCGAGTGGAACCCGGGTGGGAAGCGGCGAGTTGGTCGTCAGTGCAAGCAAGGGTGACTTGGAGGAGGTCATGTGAACAGGAGATGAAAGCATGTGGGCAGACTTGGAGCGGAGTGAAAAAGTTGGCAAAAACAGAAGGCAATGGAGACGTGCAGCTGAAGCCCTATGTTCCTCGAGGAATTAAAGGATATAATAGTAATATAATAGTATGATGCCTTCTCAATTGGGTAGTTGTATTCTGTAATATAAGATCAGTATTTTTATTAAAACATGACAACCAGTTAAGATTAGAAATGCCTAATATAAATAAAATGACTGAAAGCAACTTCTTAACTTGGCATTAAGTATTCTGAACTTAACTCAACTTTTAATAGTGAATTGGCGAATAGTGACTTGCAGTGGAATCCAGGATGGGCATTTCATCCCATTTGGGACTCGTCAGCTGGATGTTCATTCATTCCCCAGTGAGTGACGATGTTCCCACCGAGTCACTGGGGAATGCATGTACATCCAGTTGACGAGTCCTAAATAGGACGAAATGCCCATCCTGGATTCTACCGCTAGTCACCATCCACCAATTCACTTCTAATTATATGCCCAGACATCGCCAAAGCATCTTCACAAGAAGCCGACATGTCAACCTGAGATCGAGCACTTCGGTCCAATCAATCGACGGGAAAATCTAAAATTAAATTAACTCTACTTTTGAAATAATAGAAAATATTTGTAACTCAGAGAACACTATCAATTGCATAACTCTACTTTTGCTCAGATAAACTTTCTAGGAATGGAGGAGAGAAACCGTGACATAACAATAGGAAACTAAAGATGGAATTCAAGCGACAATAATTAAAACTGTCAAATTCCAGTGACTTATAACACATCTAAAATAGTAGTAGACTGAATCGCCCCACGCATCACTCTTTTACAAGCTGAAAATCTCAATGCAGTTAACAAAGTGGAAATTCCATGTAATTAAGTTTGAAGAACTCAGCTGCTGGAATGTTTGCAAATACTCAACATGGTTGTTGAACTGGCCATACCTAAATCACTCCAAAAGTCAATTCATATAAATTAAGTTGCATTTGAAAGTAGCTTTATGAAAATAATTATGGGAGCACTAAACGGTAAATGTGTGTGTGTGTGTGTAAAAGTGTCCTCAATGTATTACTTTGTCCAAATTTAATCACACTGACACTCTGATGCCCAGCCTTGGTGGCTCACTAATTCTTCAACAATAAATAAGGCAAAAGTAAACCATTACAATATATTAAAAAGTTCATTTTGCGGTAAAAGTTTTGAGCGAACAACGGTAGAAAATAAAGGATTCATCATGACTGAAATTTGACGAATTCAATAAATGCCTGCTTTGTTAATATCATTCGTTCACATAAAAACACTTTAAATCAAGTTTAATTTATAATAGGCACCGTTTTCCAATGTAATTGTCTAGAAAGTTCCAAAACAGAAGTATGGCATTTATAAGTAATATTTTGTCAGAAATACTTCTAGGTTATTTAAAGCTACTGCACAAATAATGCGAAATATTTCACGAAGTTACATAAAAGGTACACACTTTGGCTTATTCATTACATAACATTACCATAAATAAAACTTTTGAAATAACTGATAATAAGTTTTAATAAATACACCCACTAGTGCGGCTAAATACAGGTGTAATGAAAATCATGAACAGTTCGACATTAGATCACCTGCTCGAAAGAGTTCATAAAGCTAGTATTGAATGATTTTTTTCTATCATCTACTGGGTACCAGATAGGTCCCCAAAAGCCTCTGCATACTGAATACTCCAAAGAGCGGAGGACATTGCAATTCTCTTAAAACAACCGGAGTTCTGCCTGCAAAAGAAACCGGTTCGGCCACTATCACTAACCTCGTCTGCTGTGGAACCTATAACTTCATAAATTCTGTGTAATTTATTTTAATTGATACCTAATTGGATGTTATATTAATACATATCATCGTGTAAAAGATGCTTTGGGACTGCAATCTACTGATATTAAAGATTAGATGTTATTAAAAACACTAACATTATCACCAACAATAATTCTGTAATTATTATGGACGTATAAATGAACAGAGTGAGGAAGAAGTTATCGAAAAGAATATTCTTTGCTGACTAACCAATCTTTTCAGAATTTCAAATAAATACGTCACTGAACATTGAAAAAATAGATTTACCTAAATGATGATCCACTCGACGTTAAACGTGATCGTTTCTGTGATTGACGATCGGGATAGGTACATCGAAAGAAGGTATGATGTTCAATAGACTTCTTCCAGAACTGTTTGCATTCATCACGTGAATCAAATATAAATTCAATTGTATCCTGTCAATAGTTAGTGTGAGAAAAAGGATTTTAGATAGTATTTTCATGCATCAGCTATATATATATATATTTATATAAAGTATATTCCCCCATGATACGTTATATTTTGTTATATATTTGAATTATTGATAATGTTAAGGTGGTAAGAAAACAATCAATTCAAAGTCAAAGGTGGAAGACTTTTAAATTACTGCTGTTGACTGGACTGTCACTGCAAATAAGGTGTAATTACATTGACGTATAATTTTCGCTAGCTTGACAGTTGTGTAGCAGAATGATCAATCTGAAAATCACTCCATGAGCTATCTATTTACAACACTGATAACTATCCGGATATTTTAACAAACTTTCTAATTACTCCCCTTTTCTCCCACATACTGTGTATCACGGTCCCAATGTTTGCATATCTTCTTGTGACTCAATCTTCATTAGTCTTTGTTTCTAGTTGATGCCTAATTTTAATGCTTCTTTTGGCTGCTGTGTGATGGGATTGATGATGGGCTGTTTCATAACTCCAGTTTTGTTTGAGTAAGGTCAAAGCTACTCCTCAAAGTGACCTTTCCACCTTGGACTGTTTATAAGATACATGTTTCTTAGGTTTGCATCTTGAAGACAAAGTTTCGATCTTGATACGTTTATGAATTTCAATAAAGCAATAACGATAGCTTTCGCAGAATAATATGGCACCATCATTTATTTCGTTGGCTTCTCATCAGCTGCTTACAGCGCAATTAAATTATTGAGTTCATGTACAAATTGGAGAGAATATAAACATCCAGTTACCAGTTGTTATCTCTTTCGTTTGATTACGTAATTTTTGGCTCTTACCTCACTCACCTTTGATACAGTGTAATTTTGCTTGTCTCTTATTTCTATGATATGAGTTTAACTCAGTACATTGTTACCCAATATATTAGCTACTTATCATTTTAAGCATCTCTCGTCTTTAATAAGTAACTCCTTTAACATTGTATGCATGCATTTAATATGTTCAAACGTGAACTCCCTGTGTAAAAACTATATAAGCGTAATTTTCTGAGCACTGTTCACTAAGTACAGAACTTCCTATCAACTGACATCCTGAAAAATTTGCAGGTATGTTAAAACTTCTGTAGATGAACTTAATAATAATTTATTTAGACTGTAAGCAGGTGATGAGAAGCCAAAGAAATAAATGACGGTGCCATATTATTCTGCGAAAACTATTGTTCTTCCTTTTCTCAAAAGTTTTGATCATACCTTGTTAGAAATATTCTTATTAATTCTCAGACAATCTAGACCTTTGTTTTGTCAATTAGTTTTGTTATGCAGTACGTATATGACACTGAAGAAACAGCATAGCTTCAGGACAGTATTGTTGAGGTAGTTTCGTATTTTTTATGTGTTATTATTGTTGAATAGTATCCAAGACTAAATCACTCAAATTGTGACTCGCAGAAGTTTCGTAAGCTGTACAGAGGATCGCATCGAGTGGTTCTTGCATTTAAACGGAAATACTTGAATTTCGGTAGTCGAAACTTGTGTAACAGAAAGGAAAAGTAAACCAGATTGTTCATACATCATGTTTTCCGTCAAGGTGATTTTGTCTACACATGAAATCTTACCAAAATATGAAGGGTGAATTAAACTTTGATTATGCTTTATTCATACACACTTGGTTCAAGTCAGTTGAACAATAAGTTATCTTTGGAAATATCATCAACTTTTGATATTTTTGTATTCAAAAAATGCAACATATAAATGACTGAGCAGGTGATTCGCCACGTTCAGTTGGATAATTATTCATTGGAGTGGAACCCTCATCACACGTGATTTACAGAAATGAACACAATAATTACTTGTCATAACATTTGCTATACTTGCTTAATCGAGAGCAGGTTAGTTCTTCTGTCTCTGGTAAATGAATCAGATACTTTTTTTCTACTGTCATCAGAAGGTTATTGTTCAAATGGTTACCGTATAAAAATCAGCTTCCAGAAATACTTCACTCTTCCTCGTTAGACTATTTAAATAATACATCACACTGTCATGGATGCTTTCTACCGAATTACGTCTTTATTGCTGATGATCAGGGCAAAGTAATCACACAGCTGTTGGATTTCTTTTCTTATTTGTTTTGGGCTTCAAATTTTTATAATAGACTGTGTCACTTTGTTGATTCATTGAAGTGTAAATTTGTCCATTTACCACATAGTAGATTTCGATTATAGATCAGTGAGGTATTTTCTTTCTACACTACCCATCATCATACTAGGAAATATTCATTGAATTATATTTTACCGATTTCCTGAATGACTATTATGAAAGATATAAACTTATTCATTCAAGTTCATATTCATCGCATGACACTTGCTAGATTAAATTATTTTACTTCATGAACTTTATATCATTATTAATCCCATAAAGTTTGTATCAAGTCAATATTTTGCAGTTGACATACTGCTGTGATCTTAGCCATGAAAATAATTCTACGTAAAGCTTTAATATCATCTCTTACAATGCTTTCACCACTCAGTTATAATGTAAATATGTTGCCTAGACTATCGATGAGATTACAGGAAACAGCCTTAGTGCACCGGGTAAATCATTGATCTGATCCTTTTCCTTAGTTTGCTAACTACTAGTCTGATAATCTGGAGACTGCTAATTCAAATAATCCAGTGACTTAGATATTTTGAAAAAACTGTAATCGTCGCTGCATCACAAACATCTTGTTGTTTGACTTCATCTTGAAATCACATATAAATTTTGCATATCGTTAGGAAACCAAAACGATCTACTGGTAAGCAAATGTAAATGTTACACCTCTGTTCATTAGTACTACTCTGAGACGTTAAAAAACCAGAGTTTACAACCACCTTATTTTAAGATATAAGGCTAAATAAACAGTCCATAGTAGATACTCTGAAAGAAACACCTTGGTTTCAGTCTTTTTCACTTTTATGTTTGTAAATTAATTTTTGCATTAAGCAAGAACATACTGTGTTGGATATAACGACGTCATCAGTTTCGTTGGACCATCTCAGCTACAAACAACCATAAATGATTTAAAATCAACCTAAGAAATATTTAAATACTTCAGTTATTGATCACAAAGATAAAGTACAATAACAAATAGCACAATTCAGAGGAATAAAAATTGAACACAGGTGTAAAATCAGATAATTTAGTTCGATCGACCAAATCATTTGGCCCATACATATGTGTGTTGTCGATTTAATACCACTGTTCAGTCTGTGAAACTCATACGTAACTGTAAAATATTTTCCATTTCTATGCATGCTAACGACCTTTACAAGGGCTTTTATTCCTTTCCACTGCGCTACTTGATCACATGATGTCAATATCCATCACCCCTGTAACAAATATCCAAAGTATTTGAATACTGTGTATATTGATATTAAATTGTTTATGGTCGTGTGCAGCTGAAAGAACCACCAAAATATTGTTATTCACTTATTTTCCGAATGGAACACAGGGCTTCATTAGCACATCTGCATTCCATCCTGTTTACTGATATCCTCTTTAGCTGCCTACGCGATTACCCATAGGCTGCCATTTCCTTCATGTAGCTCTCGGACAACCAACTCGTCATTCCCGAAAGGGGCACCTGGCGCAATATATGTGTCCAACCAATCTCTATTTTCTTCGGCATGTTTGTTCGGCAAAAGGTTCTTAGCTGGTTCATTATCCAAGTTCCTTGTTGTTAAACCGTTCTGGTCATGTGGTCTTCAGTATGAGGTGAAGGCAGATGTTGATGAAAATCGGAAACAGGCTTTTGGAAATGCTTTTGGTGACCCACTCAACAAATCTATGAACCACATAGAAGAACTGACCCAACAGTTGTGTTGAAATTCCAAATTTCGTTTTTTATTCTGAGTGCAGCAGATTTCCACACTGATTTCAGAGTGATAAAGGTCTGTCTTGCTTTCCCGATGTTACCTTTGACATCCTAATATGTTACGCCTATATGTGAAACGATGCTGCTTAGGTAAGTGAAAGTGATGACTTCGTCTCGATTTTCCGCAACGGCTGGTGACTGATTTTCTCGGTTGATAGTCAGTTACCTTCATCACTTCTGTCTTCTCCACATTCACATGTAATTGTGTTTTCGCATCTTCTTCTACTAACTTGCTGGTTTTCGCGTGTAAATCTTCCATTAGACATAAGACCTTCGCGGAGTCCACGTCTTCTAGAGTCTTCTTGTAGGTCCAAAGTATGTCTGTCTTATCGCTGCCCATGATGTGACACCTGATCCAGTCCATTACAATCAGGAATGCCATCTGTGACAACAGGAAGGCTTGTCTTTATCCTGTCTTCACTCCAAAAGTGTAGCTTATTTTTCCACTGTGGATCACTTGACATGTGTCGTCATCACGTAGCTATTGTATGTTGTTGATAAAGGTTTAGCAAAGAAATAATTGTACAGTCCCGTCATTGTTTTTTTGTCTAATTTACAGCTTTCAGTACTGCTTCAATCCAGATGGGGAGAATTACTCACTCTGCTTAAAAACACTCAGTATTTACGGTAATTTTCACTTTTATGGCACTGTATTTAACTGTTCCCGATGAAAAGGTGCTGATAACTAACAGTCAGATAATTAAGTACCAACCATAAAATAGAATCGTTTCAAACAGTTCAAAAGCCAACAGTTGGAATGAAAAAATACAGCTACTGAAATGCTGACTTACATAAACATCTGCATGTAGTTTGACAAGAAATCTCTTTCTTTTGAAGCTTAATTTACGTATTTTTGCCCAAGAGAAAGTGTTGACTTTTATCAAATTTTGAAACACCAACAGACCAACGTGAGTGACAGCTAGATTGAGTCCTAGACCCTCATGATCCTACGATTAAATTATGCAAGAAAAGATGTGTTTATCTTAAGAAAGAGGACAAAGACGTTCATTAAAGTTTAGGAATTTAAGTATTTAAATGAGTTTTTGTAAGCGAACATTGCATCACCTTATAAATCACCTCATATTATCATCATTTTTTCTAGTTTTCGAGATAATTAGTATTATTCTTTTACAGTCTGACCAGAATACTAACTAATGTTCGTGAAATTGTAGGATATTTTTAGTAAAATGATACACTGTTCTCTCAAGCAGTAAGTATACCATATTCCCCTTGGGACACGCATCATTATTTGTATAAATCAGGTTGTAAAGTCATGCCGTCCCGCCTTACATCAGCGAACGACGAGACACTGCTTAGGCTCAACCTAGCAGTAACTTTCTCACAATGTGCTATAGTAAAACAGTTAGACAGCTTTATGAATTCAACCGACTGACGTCTAAGAAATATTTTTCAATTATAATAACTATTATGAAATAAAATGAATGATCTTGAGAGCTTGTTTTAAAAAAAATAAGGAGGTTATTTAAGGGCGAGGCCCTGCTCAAAGTGAGTGAATAAGTAACTTCAGAAATTCACTGAAAATAGTCATTAGTCTCTGTATCTCATGGGGCATGGCAGACGGATGTTTTCAGGTTGAAAAAATAAGATAGATCATTCAATCAAACAGCTGAATTCACTACTAACTGAAACATAAATATGTCCTACAGATAAGTACATAGGAGAAAAAAAATGATAGCTGTACTGAATATATAAATCAGGTAAATTATTCTGGAGCATCCAAAAGTTCTATGTTTAAAAGTAAATTTAAAAATTGGCTTAAAGCTTCTTTCTATTTGGATTTATTGAAACACTAGCAATTGGAGTTTTATCAGTACTTTTAAAATGTAGACAAATGGATAATCTCCCAGCTGTCCCTTTTAATAGTTCTTTCATTTCTTCGCGTTACAAGTGGAACATAAGTTTTCAGTAGCAGTGGTGTAGTTTTCACGGGATCAGATTGCTAGACACATGCCTAGTCCATCCTCTTTACTGAAATTGCTGACCGATAAGGGAGGTTCGGAGTGCTTTTTGGCTGGCAATTGAACTCGGACGTTGTGGGTGGTTGGCAAGCATTCTGGTAATGAACCACCGACTTACTATCGCTTTAGTAGTGAAGTGTTTTAGTGGCAATTAAAGTTCAGTCTTCACTCAGAGTTCACACACAAATGTCTAATCCATATAATTAGTATTCATTAGTTTCAGATTAACCTCCTTCGAAGGAGAGGTATTCATATTCTCGATGCCAGAAAGACAACAGAAGGTACAAAAGAAGTAAACAATATTTGTTTATAAAGGTATTCAAAATATTATATGCATATATAGTGGTTAGTGCATAAACAAATGCATAATGATTACAGGTAACATAATCATAATATTAATAAGTTGCTGATACAGTGGATTATTGAGAGAATAATAATGGTACTAGTAGTAGTACATCTATTTTTAGCATAATTTTGCTATCAAATCGAATAATGTAGAATGAACTGAAAGCAAACGAATAATAATTTGTTTAATTTTGTATTTCCCGTTTACTGATAAAACTGAACCTAAATATTCGGTCTCCGTTAATATGTCGACTGTAGATGCTCCTACAGTGTTTGAAAGTGGAGAATGACAAGTTCAAAATGGAAAGAAATGCGCGTTCTGAATTCTACCGCTAGTTACCATCCAACAAATAAAACAATTAAATCCAAGTCCTTACATTTTACCTGTTATTATTATTGTATCCTTTAATTCCTCGAGGAACATAGGGCTTCAGCTGCACGTCTCCATTGCCTTCTGTTTTTTGCCAACTTTTCCACTCCGCTCCAAGTCTGCCCACATGCTTTCATCTCCTGTTCACATGACCTCCTCCAAGTCACTCTTGTTTGCACTGACGACCAACTCGCCGCTTCCCACCCGGGTTCCACTCGAGCAATGGCTTGTCTAGTGATGTCACTTGATGGTTTCCTCAGAGTATGGCCAGCCAATCCATCTCCATTTCTTCCTGCCTATTTGTTTCACAATCGGTTCCTGCTGTGTTGGTTCGCTCATTGCCAGAGATCCCTGCTGCTGATCTTTTCTGACTGGCCATATGATCTTGAGTATTGAGCGAAGACAACTGTTAATGAAGGTCTGAAGTTTGTTGGAGATGCTCTTTATGACGCGCAGTGCAAGTCTCTGATCCGTATAGTAGCACTGACTGACTTCACATTGGAGTTGAAAATCCGGATCTTATTTTTGATGCTGAGTGATGTTGACTTCCACACAGACTTAAGAGTAATGAAAGCCTGTCTCGCTTTTCCGATTCTGGCTTTGATATCCTCGTTAGTTCCGTCCGCCTGTAGTTGAAATGATGCTTCCCAGGTAGGCAGGTGAAGGAGGTTGTTTCGTTCAGGTTCCTCCCATTTATGCTGCCTAATTGTTGTCTGTTGTTGTTGTTGCTGTTGGTGTTGGCCAGGAATTTTCATCACCTCTGTTTTATCTATGTTCACTTGAAGTCCTATCTTGGATGCTTCTTCTGCCAACTTGTTGCTTTTCACCTGCATATCTTCCAGTTAGTGGGAAATCAGACATATATCATCGGCGAAGTCCAGATCCTCCAAGTTTTTTGTGTGAGTCCATTTTATGCCTGTTCCCTCATTGGCCGTCCTCTATCTGTCGCATTATCCAATCTACTGCAATCAGGAAGATCATTGGTGATAGTAGACAGCCTTGCCTCACTCCCGTTCTCACTTCGAAGGCTTCCGTAAGTTTCCCGTTGTGGATTACTTGGCATGCAGCATTGTCGTATAACTGTTGGATGAAATGTATAATTGTCGATGGGACCCCGTAGTAGCGAAGTAGTTTCCAAATCACCTCTCGATCGACGCTGTCGAAGGCCTTTTCAAAGTCGATGAAGTTGAGTGAGGTGGAGAGGTGACTGCCATTCCAAGCTTTGTTCAATGATGATCCGTAGAGTGGCGATTTGATCAATACATGATTTGTTTCTCCTGAATCCGGCCTGTTCCGGTCGAAGTTTTTCATCTAGGGCTTGTTTGATTCTCTCCAGGATGATGCGACTTAGTATCTTGCTTGGAATGGACAGAAGCATAATTCCACGCCAGTTTTTACATTGACTTAAGTCTCCTTTCTTTGGTAGTTTGAATAAGTATCCGTTCTTCCAATCCTCGGGTACTTTGCCCTCTTTCCACACCTTCTCCAGCAGTGGCGTCATCAAGTCCGCTGTTGTCTCTGGGTCTATTTTCAAAGCTTCTGCTGGGATTCCATCTGGTCCTGGTGCTTTCCCAGCTTTTAGCATCTTGATTGCATTCAGGACTTCTGATTTCGTCGGGGGGTCAATGTTCACTGGTAGTTCTGCTTCCGTTGTTGGCGTTGTTGGGCGTGTTGTAGGTGGCGGACGATTTAGAAGTCTTTTGAAGTGTTCAGCCCAGTGCTTTCTCTGTTCCACCTCTTTGGTGATTGACTTTCCATTGTCGTCCTTTATTGGCTTAATCTGTGTCGAACTTTTGCCCGATAGGTGCCTAGTTGTTTGGTAGAGTGTGGCGAGGTCTCCTTTGCCTGCAGCTTGTTCTGCTTCGTTTGCCATGGTTTCATAATATTTTCTTTTGTCTTCCCTGGCACTCTTCTTCACTCTTTTGTTCAGTGTATTGTATTCAGCTCCTGTTTTTGTTGCTCGTCTGTGCACTGGATAATCTTTTGCTTCACTGTCCTTCTCTCTTCTATTAGTTTCCAAGTGTCCGCAGTGAGCCACTGTTTGTCCTACCTCTTCTTTGTGCCTAGAACTTCCATGCAGGTTTGACTCCACACCGTTTTCAAGTTGTTCCAGTGCTTTTCGACGCTGAACTTTTCGCTGGTGTTGATTTGTGTCTCGGCTTTTTCCCTTATGCTTGCAATGAAGATGTCCTTTGTAGCCTGGTCCTTCAGCTTTTGAGTGTTGAACTTGGCTTGTGGTCTATCTGCAGCTCCTGTTTCCCTGAAAGCTTTTAATTTGATTTGGATTGTCCCTTGTACGAGATAGTGGTCTGAGCCAACGTCTGCTCCTCTTCTTGCTTTTGTGTCCAGTAGGCTGCGCCTCCACTTCCACCTGTTAGACGTATGGTATCATTAGTATGCTCATAGGAAATAGACAGGTTGCTTATAAATCGTAGGTTAGATCACTATAGCAATTCGTCTATATCTTGTGTATATGATCATTGGATAATACTGTAAAGCTATTAATATAATTTCGTGTGCATTTGGCATGCAAATCCTCCGAATAATATAATTAGGTTAGCTAGATAGACATCAACGAAGTATTACAGTCAGTAATGACTTGAAAAAGTCATCTGTGGAGTATAAGCTCGCCAGTCGAGAATAAGTCAGTGCTTAGAAATCCTAAATGAAGGTGGATTAACTTGTTGGCGTGTATGTAAACTAAACACCGTAGTAATGTACCGATGTTTTCCTTTTAATCGTTCCCTCTCTGTACATTCTTTCTGCAGATGCCAGATCAAACGTATACTGCTGCCTGATGAGTTTTAAAAGTATACAGAAAACGTTAGAACAGTCTCTATAGTATTTAATTCTGTATGCAGTAAATTATAAAATGAATGAAATTTTAACAGTCAACTGACAGAGGGCTCCAAAATGAATTCAACTTACACGAGCAAAGTGTAAACGTACACCGTAGAATTCAATTTTTCTAGCCGTGTCCAGTAGGGCGAAATCTGCTTCTGTTGGGGATAAACCACTATTTGGAAAAGAAAAAATAAAGTAGCCGGAAAATTCACATAACTAGGTGGTGAAATAACCCAAGCAAAGCTAGCAGATACCTATAACACTTGGCCTGTAATACTTGTAATGCGCGTATTAGATGAAACGCCGTCATTAGTAAAAAAAAACCAACTTCTGTCTTACTGACTGAATTACTAAAAAAAACATACTATCACCATCCTAATCCATTATTACGCCTAAAAACAATGAAAGATTTTTATTTCGATTTTCAAATGGGTAAATTTCAGTAGGCTACACTTCACAGTTTAAACATCAATAAAATTTTCGTTTTTATTTTCTGAAACACACCGGGTGATACAAAGTTTTATTTTCTGGGTGTACGCAGAGTCAGGAACTGTCTTAGCACGACTGTATACACTACATTCACAAAGACAAAAGACTACAAAAATCCATTATCAGATCCGTTTATCTATTGTGATAAAGAAAATTAGTCTACTACGTTTTATATTGTTGCTGACCGAATTGTCAAGAATTGTAGGTTGCAGGCATTCAATTAGTATTAAAGTGGATTTCGTCATTAACTTGTAATTCTTTCTTTTCCACCAAAGATTTGTTCACCCACTTATCACTAACACCCTCTATATCATCAGCTTAATTAGGTAACGTATGCAGATATTTTGCAAATCAGTAATAAAATATTATGAAGCTGTGCTGACAAGAAGCGACGAAGTAAAATGATACCATATTATCCTGATCAATTTATTGTTTTTGTAATGTAATGTGTGAATAGTCAGTTTCTAATGATTCTAAGCTTTTGTTTGCTTAACTCTTAAAATATTTCAAGTTACCAACAGTTCCAAAAAAGGCCTTATTCTTACAGATGAAGTTCCTTGGGGAAAACAGCAGCGAGATACTAACACAGCGCCTTAGAAATGCGATAAAAGAGCATTCCCTGCTGCCGAATTACGCTGCATCTTTAAAACCACTCCTTTTCTGCGTTCGGAAGTAAAAGACAAACTGCATAATTTCGCCTCTTCCATGTGTATCTACCAATTTAACTGCTCCAGTTACATAGGCCGTACAATTAGGCGTGTTTCTCGTCGAATTTCCGAACATCACCCTGCGTGATTAAGCAAAGGACAAACAAGATCTATTCGCAACGCTATTCTGTCTCATCTTGTGGATACAGAACACAAGATTCATGTTAACCATGCTTTCAGGGTAATTTACCGCATATTTCTAAAACTAAAAAGTTGTTTACTAAATACAAAACACTTGCTGATGTCATGCTTTTAACATGTAACTCTTAACTTTCATTACTGACTATTTACAATACTTAAATAAGTTTCCTTCAAATAAAAAACAGTTTACATCAGTACAGCATTGTGACCAGAGTTATAGAAAGTTTCAAGCAATGTCAAATCACAAACTAACTCCTTTTTATTACTAATCTGAGACAAAAAAGGAAATATTATGATTCAAATTAATCATCAGTTTTATCTTACACATGAGCTTTGTGGAACTCTCTAACTCGACGTAAACGTTCGTCAGTAGGTTCATGCAGTAACTTCAATGGCTTTAAATAGGCAATTGTTCTGTATTCTTCATGAATAAAATCTCCTATTTCAGCTATATTTTTAACAATAAAAAATGAAGACAAATAGAAAAGTTACACAGAAATGTATTTATTGCTATGCAGTATGTAAACTGAAACTCTAAAGTTCACGTTGCATCAGAAAAAGAATTTCGCTGCTTCCACTAGTGTAAATTTAAACAGGTTGTTGAAAAAAACATACGGCTATTTCCTATGACATACTTGAATAAACCAAAAAGAACACATTGTGCAGCCTATTATTTCTAAAGTTTAATACTGATTGGCATTAAAGTTTCAATTTACAATTACTCCTTATTCTAATGTAACATCCAAACTTAATTAGAGCCAGAGACTTTTGAAGATATTATCAGAAATATGAAAATTAAGTAGAGTACATAAACAGAATCTATAGAATTATACAACAATTCAGTAATTAAGACTTGGTTTATTTCAATGATTGCTACTATGCTACTCATAAGTAGTCCTCCTACTAATGTCATCAAAAGTAATTCTTTATTTTGATAACTTTGATGTCCTGTTGATATTTTTCGACCATATATATCCACCTAATATAAACTAGTCTTAGAAAGTAGTTTTAATCCTCAATTGGGGAAGGTGAGAAAGTATTAGAAACACGTTTAGAGTATACATGGTTTCCAGTGGAGACGATTATTACTGTTACTATTATTATTTCCTTTAATTCCTAGAGAAACATAGGGCTTCAGCTGCACGTCTCCATTGCGTTCGGTTTTCTGCCAGCTTTTTCACCCCGCTCCAACTCTACCCACATGTTTTCATCTCCTGTTCACATGACCTCCTCCAAGTCACCCTTGCTTGCACTGACGACCAAATCTCCGCTTCCCACCCGGGTTCCACTCGAGCAATGGCTTGTCTAGTGATGTCACTTGATGGTTTCCTCAGAGTATGGCCAGCCAATCCATCTCCACTTCTTCCTGCATATTTGCTTCACAGTCGGTTCCTGGTTAGTTCGCTCTCTGATACCTCTGTTACTGATCCTTTCTGGCCATATGATCTTGAGTATTGAGCGAAGACAACTGTTAATGAAGGTTTGTAGTTTGTTTGAGGTGCTCTTTGTGACACGCCAAGAGTGGAGACCAGCACTTCTTGGTCAACACTAATTACAGACTTCAGAAGAGACGAAGTCTCAGTTGGTGTCTGCAGACACCTAGCCCGCGACACATGCAAGTAAACCAAACAGCCATAGTTTACTTACAGAGAAGGTTGGTAGAAGCTTATCTCTCCTTTTGGAACATTAGTGTGTATATATCAGTCCAACCCTGAAAACTGCTACTAATCCTCAAGCAGGTATTATCTCCCTTCTTCCACTGTAATTTTATGACAGTTCTCCTCAACTATTGAATGTTTTACTAAAATACGGTGAATTGGAACAATACACTTTTCTCTAATGCTCTACATTGATGAATGACTAATCAGGTATTGCAAAATAAATGTTTCTAATGGGAGAGCGTAAAGTAAAGCTTAGAAGAAAAATAGGGCGTCCAAACTCAGTATTCAGTGGTACAGACTTAAATATCGAGGAGACAGTAATCTTCTTCGGGACCTGTCCTAATGCTTTGTTATAGCCAAAAGGAAATTTACTTAATTTTCATTTTTTTATTTTTGATTACAGCTTGATTCCACACCGTATTTTTGGTACAAGTATGGAATTTTCAGCGTGGATATCGGTAGCCCAAATTTCGCAGGCCAACCATAGATATCAGGTGTGCGCTGGTGTGGGCTCGAATCCCGGACCATGTGCATGGTCGACGAGAGTCCTAACCACTGTGCCACCGACACACAAAAACTTACTACTACCACTAATTGGCATTGAAAAAAAAATGTCGTTGCACATTCAGTGGACTATAAATCCGTTAAAAGAGTACTAGAATAAAAATAAACCTGAAGGACCAGGGATCATAACGCCCCCCACCTATTAGCTCTTCGATAAAATTTGAGAAAAAAAAAGACAGTACGTTTTGTTTCCCGGAAAGATGTAATGACACAAAGAGCTTACCTTGAACAATGTATGAAGCAAGTAGTGCAGCTGTATTCTCACTGCATAATAAAGTACCTGTGACCAGGTCACGTTTTATTTGCAAGGCGAATAAATACCTGGAAATATAATTCGGGAAAACTAACAATAAATTTGTGTAAAAACTAATAGCAGACACATATAAGTCGTCTGACTTCAGATTCACTCCCACAGTATATATTTACAAACACTTAGAGAGTCAAAATATGTGGAATTGTTACATTAATATAGTCCTATCTTCGAATTTCTCAAGAAAATGAAATGTACAGTTTAATGTTATTAAGGTGGAAAAAACAAGGAAGAATCACATTTTGTACCTGGTAATTCAGTTGCAAATAGGGACTTAAGCAAACAAGTGAATTCACAAGGTATATTGTTTTTATTCCTCTGCGTTCCTAGTGCAATATAGGGCTTCAAGCTAGAGACTTGAATTTTCTGTATGCCAAGTCATCGCCTCCCTCGACGAGCAATGTTAGCGGATATAGGGTCAGGCTGGAAAAAAGCTAGCGGTGGTCAAACAAAAACATGGCACCAGTCAGTGAAATCCACAACAGTTGGTCTAAGCCACGTAAGAAGGTGTAGACTTCCAGGCTGGGATCCTCGGGACGGTAAAAATCTATGGTTGGAAACAATTGGTGACATGGCTCAAAATCGTTCTCAACGCATAGCGCAGATGCATCCACTCCTTGTGACTTATGATCTCCAATGAAACTGTTTTGTTCTTCGTTACTACTATTCCTTTATCTCACACCTCTGCTCACTGTTTCTATTATGCTTTTCTTGTACTTTATTCTCTTGCTTCGCGTGCTACACGGAGTGTGGCGACTTGAACTTCCGCACATTTGTGCAAAGTTCTATGTCGAAAACAGACAGATAGACGGACAGGCAGTAACAGTGGTGATTATTTTTACAGGATGGGGTCGCTAGCCTCATAAAGTATAATTATATTTCAATGGTTTACAAACAGTGATAAGTTTTGTTATTGGTAATTGTTCGAGCGTGCGTCGGTGGCACAGCGGTTAGGACGCTCGCCGACCATACAAGTGGTCCGAGGTTCGATCCGCGGCCACGGACGCACTCCTTTGCCTCGCTAAGCCAGAAATAATGCTGACAAAGAGGAAAGATAGATATGAGGTTAGCAATCCCATCCTGTAAAAATAATCACCACTGCTACAGAAACTTCAAGCCACTATGTTCCACTGAGAATGTGAAGGAAAAATTAATTATTATAAATTAATAGTTCGAGCAAAATTACTACCCGTGTTCACACCACTGTTGAAATTGTTTTGTTTTTTAATTCACACATTTATGATTTTCACTCATAAATACAGATCATTTTTTGTTCATTCATTTTTGTGCATCTAAAATTATATTCCGGGTTGTTGACAGTCATACTGGGTCACACCTGACCTTCCTTCCTTACCATTCTTACTACTGGATTAGTGAGGTAGAGAAGTGCATTGGATGGTGATCGAACCGCAGACCACCTGCATGGTCGGCCGGCACTCTACCTCTGTGTCACCAACGCATACTTTTTATTGCGTACCTCAAAATAATCACAGAAACAGAAATGATGTCATATACCATTACTTATGTTGTTAACAATCAGCACTGAAATTTACTCGGCAGACAATAGCAAATAATTCTAATGATTTTCTCAAAACCTTTTCTGCTTTCACTTATCCAAACATTGCATCTTTTGCCTTAGGCATCTTACTTATGTAATCATCCGGATGTGTCAGTCCCACCTGAAAAAACACTACAAGTTGCATGAAATCGCTAATATTGCCCAAAAGAAGTTTAAGATAGTTCAATAGACTCGAAGATAAATTCCCAATAGGACGCACAAAAAGAAAATCAAAACACTCATTCATTGAAGAGTCTCCTTTCAACAAATTTATTACAATGTGAATTGTGAGAAAATAGTAGTGGATTATGTACTTTACAAGATAATTCATGAAGTGTATTTAAAAAGAGAGTGTGTAGAAATAATAGTACTAGTAAGCAATTAAATCACTACGCAACAAGGTGATAATTATGATAAGATAACATTGCGAAATTTCTATTGAATTAAAGAAGTAAAGGTGATGAGTGAGATAATACCGGAAATTGTCCACAGTGAAAATAATTGCAATGCTCATTGGTATAGTAAGCGAAGGATATACATATTTATTTAATAGACAAAACGAGAAAATAAGCAGGACCAAATTAGGAGCGGGGATCATAATAGTTTAGCATAGATTGATCATGATGAAAATACTTTGGTTTACAAACTTTGGCTTTTCTGTTTAGATGGCTACAGCTCCAACAATACAAATAAACCAGATACGTAATGGTTTTAACAGGTTATTATTCGTCGTATAGATAACCAAAGAAAAAGACTGCAGAAATAAGGTAACGAGTGTTGACCGGATATCCAGTTATTGGGTTCCTAGAGCTCCACTTCAACCTTTAGGTAACAAAACAAGATAGTGTTCTTGCACTCTTTTGGAAGAAGCCTGTATAGATGACTGATATGCCTAACTCCACAGAAGTAAATGAACTGGTGGATATACAGAGTTTAAATCTTGCCCGTCAAGTTATTAAGTAGTAATGGAGGACTGGAAATCACTATTTCAAATGCTATCTCAGCGAATGTTTTTTTCAGGGGTCCTTCATGTAAAGATGTCAACACCTAGGCTACCTTTGAATTCAATATTCAAATATAGCACTACCTTGGATACACATCAAATCACATTTCAGAGGTTCTAAAAGACATAAAACATAGCAGGTATCCATTTTCGTCCAGGATTTTTCTCAGAAGATTTAATTCTTTCTGTACAGCATCAACACTACACTACATATGCTCTAAATGCCAGTAGCACATGATCGAATCAAGTTTCTTTTTTGACTAATAGGTTTTCCCCGTAGAAATCAGTCAGCTGACCATTCCATTACAGCTTTCTATAAACCTCTCTCATGATGATTCCATCACTCTTTCAAATCATTACGATGTACATTAAACTCGTTTTCACCTCAAGTGTGAGTTTTATCACTGGATGGAAACGATTAAATGAATTTAATATATTATTCAAATCACAACTTTTATTATTATTACTTTTGTTCCTTTGGGTTCAGAGTAGAACATAGGGCTTCAGCAGTACTTCTCTATTTTGCCCTGAATTTTGCGGTCCTCTTAAGCTGGCGCCACGTTTGCCCATAGGCCCTAATTTCCTCATCTCACGATCACTTCCATGTCCTCCTCGGACGCCCCACTCGTCATTTCCCATTCAGGTTCCACTTGAGCAATGGCCTCGCGCGTGACGTCAACCAACGGTGTCCTGAGCATATGCACAGTCCATCCTCGGTTTCTCCTACATATTTGTTGAGCGACAAGTTCTCGGTTAGTTGGTTAGTTTGCTAATTATTTCTGATCATTTGATCTTCATTACGGAGCGAAAGCAGTTGTTGAGAAAAGTCTGCAGCCTGTTGGAAACGCTTTTCTTTACACCCTAGCCACGTTTATGACCCATATAGAAGAACTGACTGACCGAATTTTGTTCTTTGCGCTGAGTGCAGAGGATTTCAGAGCGTTTAAGGTGTACATTACCTTTCCGATTGTGGCTTTCACATTTTCATCCGTTCTGCCTGTAGTTGAAAGAATGTTTCCTAGACAGATGAAGGAAGTAACCTCCTTTAAGTTTCTTCTGCTGAAAGTGATTGGTGCTAGTCGTTTCTACTGGTGTAATTATTTTCACTGTGGACAATTTCCAGTATTATCTCACTCATCACCTTTACTTCTTTAATTCAATAGAAATTTCGCAATGTTATCTTATCATAATTATCACCTTGTTGCGTAGTGATTTAATTGCTTACTAGTACTATTATTTCTACACACTCTCTTTTTAAATACACTTCATGAATTATCTTGTAAAGTACATAATCCACTACTATTTTCTCACAATTCACATTGTAATAAATTTGTTGAAAGGAGACTCTTCACTGAATCAGTTTTTTTATATTTTCTATGAAATAACCTTCTCAGTAATTACAATAATCGATTACGGTGTTTGTAAGCTGCGCCAAAAAAATGGCATTTCTCTGGGCTAAATCCTTCAGTCTAAGTGTATATGTATAAGTTTTGATGAGACTACTGTTTTAGAGGACAATCTATCTGACATTATCAAGCGCTCGGAGTTCATGTGGCATACCTGACAGATTACGTTTCTGCGATTATGACAGAAGAGAACTAATATTCAAGGGTACATTGTTGATTTGATCACAAAGAACTATCACCATTAGCCTCAGCAAAGAGTTCAACTAATCTAATTAACAATCCAGTTACTTTATTTTTGAATAATTAATGATTCACTTAATGAGCAGAACCGCTGAATATTTTCAGAGGCGTTTGAAGTGATCCGTTCAACAACCACCATGTGGAGTTACTGTTCATAAATTTTTTTCACTATTTGCTTTCCAAAAGTAACTTAGAGATTGAAGTCTTATACTCTGAAGTTTCAGTGGCTCTGTAGTCTCACATCCGACCTTCTTGCTTTTATTTGTTCACTACCAGCTAGAAAACTAGGGCGGGGTTTAGGTTTGGGAATACGCCGTCTAAGAATCGATCCTGGAAATTTCCCTTGCCTGATGAACATCCTACCATTAAAATACTCACACACTGCAATCCATAATGCAGATACCAAGTCTTTAATTCCCGGTTAAGAAGTCCATACAGTACATAAAAAAGCAAATTAAAACTGAATGCCTCGAAGACACGTCCACTGATTCCTGTGAGTGACCAAAATTAAATTTTAAAAGTGTACACAATCACAAGTTTCAATTAGTGCCTAACTAACTTTCACTTGGTATCCTCTTCACGTGTACTACAACATACTCTAATTTATTCAGGCAGAATATAGGTGGGATTTAAATAACCCATAATACTGAAAGCTGCTGATGAGGATTAGATAAATTAGAAATTATCTCCTTTTCAGGTCCGTGCACAATGCACCAAGCGTATTTTCTCTAACCCCCTTTTTTTCTTTTTTCATAGTCTGATAGTATATAAATTGATGATGCGTTCACCTTATAGTGTTTTCTCTATTACCTTTCAAACAATGAAGTATGAAATGTTATTATTTATAACCACTGTAATTTCATGTAGTTTGCAGCTGTTGAGAACCTGTGAAATAGCATGATGATATCATTTTATACTGCAAATCTGGTCTTTCTTTCTCTATCGAAATTTATCAAGGGAACCAAATGTATGAAATATCTGAAAATAATTTCATGAAAAATATGACCCTACACGAGATGGAAAGCGAATAGTTTATTTACCGTGCGAAGAGTCAAATGTTCTTTTCTCTCCTGCGAAGCAACATAATGGTATTCATTTCATACACAGAGCTATTTATTGTATCAATATACGTTGAATTTTAGACATTAGTTACTCCATCGATCTCAGAATTAAAAATCTACAGTTTAGGTTTGATTTATTTCCTTTTGACCGTACCAGTTTCAGTTAATATTCCATTAGAACAATTGAAGTTTTTCCCATGAATTATAACAAAAGCTGTATAAATACGGCATTTTAAACACTAGTGTGCTCACTACTATGAAGGTTCATAGGTGAACAAAGCGTTATTCCCATTTTTTCCCATTAAAAACAAGTGACACCTCTAACAAGTAGTCTGTGTGAAGCAGTTTGTTCCGGCATAAGAATAAAACTTGGGCATAATTGTTACGGTATAATTCCATCCATCACAGAGTAAATTTGTTTGCTTAATACACATAGTGATACAGTATTATTTACACATGACATTTAGAGCACATTTTGTAGCTTATAAACAAATTGGGCCAAAAACGTCATCAGTAAATAATACTGTATCACTGTGTGATTTTATCAGACAAATTTACCCTATGATAAAGCAGTTTTTGTCAAAAACGCCAACATCTCCCTTATCATAGTAATACGAATTTGGCGATGTGCCAACAACCCGATGATGGACATTTGTTAGGCTAATCATGCCACAAGCCTTCAAACGAAACTCAAAAGCTCTTCTTTTCCCATCTCTAACAACTCATAACGAAGATCGGCTTTCATGAAATATCATTATTGAGTAAATGTCATCACATACGAGTTAAATCATCTTTACTTAGACAAATAAGTTAAACAAGTCGACAAGAAGTCGCTTAAACTTCACAAATATCAGTTGTAAAAATTCCCGTCACCCTACACAACGGGCGAATACTTTTCTCAGACAAATAATCTAAACAACTCAATAAGTCTGTTAATCAACAAACAAACCCTAAGTGTATATACCGCAAGCTTAACAAACTGCATTCATACTCAAAATTGTGTAAATAACCAAGTTAGGCAGTAAATTGGAAATTTTCGATATAATTAAAGCACTGAAAGTCTCTTTCACTTACTTGGGCAGCAGGGTCTCAACTACGGACCATACGGATAAGGATGTCAAAAGCAGCCAGGATCAGAACATCAATATAGATGTTCATTACTCTGAAACTACAGTGCAGATCTAAAGCACTTCACACAAACGAAAAGATACAGGTTTTCAAAACTAATATTAAGTTACTGATTCTACATGATTCAATGACTTGGCTCCTAGGTTACCGAAAGCGTTTTAACAGGCTAACGAGGACGTTAATCTACATTTGCTGTCACTCGATAGTGAATAAGCAACAAGGAAGTCTGGAAGGCAGAGAACCTGCTAAGAACCTAATGCTCAGCAAATATGCAGAAAAAAATGCAGATGGATGAATTGGATACACTCTGAGGAGACTTCCAAAAAAAAACATCACACCTGAATGGAAAGTAACGAATAGTACGTCGCAGGTTGAAATTGAGGAGATGATGTGCGGGTCATACGTGAATGGAACGGAACAGAAGGGAATAAAGATGTCCTTTTGTTCCATTCGGGACTCAAGGAGCAGATAATAATATGATAATACAGCCTTCACTAAGAAGTCATCTAGATAAGAAGATTTATTGACTGGAGAAACATTTTTTTATACAAGATTAATTATAGCATAATAAAGAAACGATATCATTGACTATTATAAAAATGAAACATTGTTTTTGAAACTGACCGTGTATACGCTTCTTCGAGTAGATTCGGATGAGGTGTATAGAATTTAACAGCGAATCGGTAAATAAAATCTCCATTGGCAGAATACTGTCGCGTAACTGTTTTATTATGGTCTAACCAACACTATATGAGAATGTAAAGTAAATATAAACGAAAAGTAAGAAAAAATGTACACTGCGAGATATGTCATAAATAAGTGATATATTCTTTTCGCTATCTGATAAGTACCATAATTTCTCTATACACAACTTTATCCTTCGAATGTTTCATTAGCGCTGATTGAATTGTAAACGGGAAAAAAAGGAACAAACAAGGCAACTTCATTAATGGTTTAATAATTAGAAAGATAACAACATTTTATTGATGGAATATATATAACTGCCTCTTCTTCCATGTGAGGTTTTGCACATGAGTTTTTCCTTAGGTATACCGCTTCTACGCTTATTGAGACTGTATTCACTTGGTTAGGTCAGTAATTGAGTTACCAATTCACAATCAATAACCTCGTACTGACTTAATTCTCATTAATGTCACATTTTAATAATAATAATAATAATGATGGGAAAAACTAAACAATGAACATTGTCAAGTAGCCTTTTTCAAGTGGAATATACGACTTCAAGCCCCAAGCTTTGTAGTTTCAGGAGCGATGGTGTCTTCTTTACGGGGTAGGGTTGCTAGCCTCACTCCCAACCTTCCTTATTTACCAGGCTTACTACCGGTTAAGTAAGGTTGAGGAGTGGGAAGCGAACCCAGATCACACAGGTATTTGGAATTAAGACACACCAACGCACTAACTAGTTAATATGCAATATTATAATCCAGGCTAGCATACCATAACATTATGAAAGGGTAGAATTACACTGTCACAATCCGTCTGTAAAAATACGCTGCACAATAAAACACACTGACGTTATGTGATTTAAATAATTACCTTCAAACACAGAAATCTAATCGTATACACAACTTCTGTGTCCCGTGACATTTTGAAAAGACAGAACGCACGGTTTAGAATTTATTTGACATTTTTAGAAAAAGACAATAAGAACAAATTATGTGAAAGCACTCTGATACAAGTGAACAAACATATTGCAAAGGTATCACCACTAAACTAGTAACATATGCTGAATACTTATAGAGTTAGAAGGTGTTTTTGTCATGCATAACTCACAATTACACTAATCGAATGTCTTTCTCTTGTTGGACACTGAATGACTAGCTGAATAATTGAGTTTTCAGCGCAGAGCTGTGCATAAAAGTGCAACGACTCAAGCTACTACACTACATATAACACACAAACAAAGCGAAAAATAAAAGCTGAAAAGAGCCATAATAAACGGAAGTGTACCGCAAAAAGAATAATAAGAGTTTGTTGATTCTGGCGTCTTATAAAGAGTGAATGCTCCTGCTTCAATGAGAAAAAGTTTCAGACACGTCATCAACAGTCTCAAGTGAATAGTTCGTAGAATCTTGAGGACACTACCCTTGCAGTCTACATCTTCCTATGCGACTAAAACCAACAGTTTAAGACATCATATACTGATGAGAGGTTTTTATTTAATCACCTTTAACTTCTTTCCAACTTTATCTTATGTCAGTTAGAACTCCTAGACGAGGGAGTCGATTGGCGTGGACACTGAAGTTCTAAGCACAAAGAAAACTAAATTTTCAGTAAACAACTACAAACATAATAAAATGCCTGTCAGAATTAACAGCCTATGCTGAATTCAGTGATATACAGGAAATAAATATCGAAAACTATGTATAATGTAGGAAACAAAATATTTCCCATGAGATACACTTACACTTAGTATTACTCTCAGGAACACCTGCTGACGAAAGTAAGTATATGCTACGGTTCTCTTTGTGTGACTAACAACGTAAGGTCACACACGTAAATTCACACTTCTATTTCTACTACTCAACAATTTTAAGTAGATTAAGTGTTTTATCGAAAAATAGTAAGAACTGAGGCAAGTAAGTGATTTAAATTCCTCAAAATATGTTATAAATTAAACTAACCATAAAACTTTGAACTGGATTTATTTAACTGTATTTATAGAAGAAGATTGATGAATAAAACTTCCGAAAAGATAAACAACCTAACTTAATCTTGTTTACAGTAGCAAATAAGAACTTAATTTCTGTTGGCAATAAAAATAAACAGTATATTTGACTATATATGTCCTAACCAACCTCAGATTCAGTAGTTTGAAAAGTTTCGAGTATACGATATTTAACAGTGTTAAGGAAATTTCCTGTTTCCCAACAAATGAAAGACGAAAGGATATTGTTTATGCTGATGTTCCATCATTTAGTGCTAATTCTTTTATCAAAGTAATTTATTATTTTATTTTTTCCTGCACGTTCCCAGTGGAACATAGGGTTCCAAGCTAGATGCTTGAAGTTTCTGTAGCAGTGGTGATTATTTTTACAGGATCGGGTTGCTAGCCCAATGCCAAACCTTTCCTCTTCACTAGTCTCACTACTGGCTTAGCGAGGTTAAGGAGTGCGCCGGCCGGGGATCGAACCCCGGACCACTTGTATGGTCGGCAAGCGTCCTAGCTGCTATACCACCGACACATCGAAGTAATAGTAAACCAAAATTTACGGAATCTCAGCAAAATACAATAAATTAAACATTGTTCTTAAGCATGTAGCAGTCTGGTTAGTCTTCCAAAAGTTGGTGTTTTTATTGGTTCACAGTTTCAAAAGACGACAGACTGTCTTCACTATTTATGTAGACTAATGAAGGATTTCTTAAAATCTGACATGGTTTTTTTATGAATAAAATGCGCAGAGCTAAACGTGGCTGTGTGGCATCACACGAATACGAAGTATGCTGAAGTATCACTTTAATACACCCAAAATAAGTTAGCTGACAGTTCATAGCGCGAAACGATTTTTGTATACTATATCGAATCTTTCTGCAATGACTAGCACATTTTTACTCACTGAAATGTACGTTTCTTTATAGAACGTTGTTTTCTTGATAATCCCCTGTTCCAAATCTGTTTGGTTCAGTTTCCACTTTCATACTGCAAAAATAATTGTATATGTCAATTCTGCTGCCGAAACAATCTTTTAATAATCTGTAGAGAAACTTAACATATCTAGTAGATTGTAGTATTAAATCAAAGGGTCAAAGAACACTGTCCAGTGTGGTTGCAGAAAGGAAGTAATGGCCGTATACGGAGTGCAAGAATCAGACATCTCGTCAACACTGGTCATTCCGTCTCAACAAACGCCTCCTTCAAAGTAATCTACAAAGTGAAGAACAACCTTCCAAAGACAGTACGATTCCGTCTTCTTTGCATCGCAGAAGCCCTAGCCATTCAGTTGGAGGAACCAGAACTATGCATACAAAAGAAAATTATTCAACCACTTCTACTCTCATAGTAACAACTCCGTTGATTTGACTTAACTTTTGTTTGTTTGTTTGATTTGACCTTACTTTTGTTTGTATGCTTATTTTTTTCTAACTACTTAAAACCCTCGTGTAATTCTATATATTATTTTGTTTCCATGTACACCCTGAGGACAACTCTTTCATCAAACTATTCACGCCATCTCGTAACTCTTATTTAACAATCGTTTTTGACAACTCATCACTTTTGTTACTATTCTCTTATCAACATCCAATTCATCTGAACTTACTAATTGTATTTTCGTTTGACAAATTTAATGTATACACAAACACACAACCATATATATTTGCGATTGTACAGCTATGAAAATGAATTCGCCGAAAAGAGACTCTTCGCTGAACAACTTGTCTTTTGTCTATTAATGCTCGAATGGGAATTGTTCATGAATTAAATCAAATTGACAAATAAAGTTATTAATAAAACCAGTAAAAAAAGGAAAAAATATATGAATCTGTTACCGAAAGAAGTTAGAAAGAGCGGAGTTTTTGGGGGGTATCATCAAAGATTTCAGATTCATACCGATATGGCTAGTGACACTATAACGCAACTAGAAGAATACTATAAAAACAGTATTCGAGGTTGTTTCTTCGTAAATGAATCCATTTCATATTCGATAAATTAGGAGGAACTGCCTATTTTTATCTTCTCTTATATTATCTAACAGTTTGACCACTGCAGTGGAGCTATTTCCAGTGGGCATAGAACTGGGTAGTTTCATCGTCAGATTTCAGAACTCTGTGCTATGTAAGGCAAACCAAAGTCAATTTATAGCCCTACTTTACAAAACGTCTTCACTACTGATCATATAACAGAAGCCATTAGTGTCAGCTTGAAGACGTCGAACAAGTGTTTACAGGAAGAGTTCATGAAACCATTTTATTTAGTTTCAGCATCTTTATACCAGTTTAAGGTTATTATTATTGTAAGTAGCTTATTAGTCTCCCCAATTCACCTCTGATCGCTCTCATGTAATCGATTTTAATAATCTGTCTACTGAATTTAAATGGGAAAACTAGAAATATTCATTAAAACAAACACAAAAAGCAGTTTCTTTTATCCCATCCAAAAAGAAATGTCTATGGGGTAATAAGAGCACGCAGTATGAAAATGAAGGAAAAATTTTCGCATAGTAAATTAATGCAGCTCACATATGTAAATCGACCAAAGTGAATGTCAGTAATCCAAATACTAAAATTGTTTAAAACCATCCCAATGTGTTTAGAAAATCAAAACAGATTTTTTCGCTGTGTAATCCAAAGGGTTATTTAGTGAACTACAACCAGACTGCTTCAGTAGTTCAGCGGTAGAATGCTCGCCAACCAACCAAGTCGTCTGGGGTAAGATGACTGGCCAGTGCACACCTCTACCATCCTGTGCAAGTTGTAAGCCCAACTAAGAGGGAAGGTTGGTTATGTGGCTAGGAATTCCCCCTCGTATTAAACACCACTGCTACTAAAACTTTAAAGCGTGGGGCTTCAAACTGTATGCTGTACTCGGAAGGCAGAGGAACAAAATAAATGTCGAATAGATCGAATAATAGTGTAAATTCAAAGGGAAAACAAATAATAATGGTAACAGTGGTGTGAAGTCCTCCTTTCTGTCATTTCTGTTACTCTACATCCCTCGAACTTACATTCGGCGTATCCCATTTGTCTAATTATGTTTTGCAGTATCACATTTCTGTCACACCATTGGATATAACTGAACTCCCTTAAACTTATACTTTTGCAAAAATAAAGGTGGTTCAAACTTTCTAACCTGTAGGATTACAACTGTACAAAACAGGTCACTTAATTTTGTATTCACATTTTATGTTCATAAAGACTGTACATTTTATCTGCATATAAACGATAGACTTAACTATCGGATTATTATTCCATCTTATACTCTCGATACGGTTTCTGATATACTTTTGATTTTCCTTTATTAACTATTTGTATTCTTATATTGATAGATTAATAGCTGTAGAGTTTGAAGAAGAAGAAATCACTAGAAACATCTGTTCTTGTTCTAAGTAAATATCAGGTTTCTTATTATTTCTACAAATCCTGGTTTGGTTATTGAAGATTTCAATCCTATCTGAACTTTTAGCTGTGTCGAAGAGGTACAGACTACAGCTATAATTTTTTCCTAACTTTCCTGAAAATTCCTCCAAGTATTTATCTGATTGTTCTCTGTTTAATATAGTTCCATTATATTTCCCCCTCGACATTGACGTGTACTTTCTTGAAGTGCAGGCAGTTTGAAGTGATGCATTACTGCATGAAGTCCTCCTGCACACTTCTTAATTCTACATGAATTCGGTAGTCAAGTTGTTAGTGTGTTAGTCCTTAACACGAACCACATCTGACTAGTTTTACTTTTTGAAAAAATCGGCAGTAAGTTAAAGACTTCAATCTCATTGTCACTAGAGTTCTAGTGTAACTGTGAGTAAAATTGTAAAGAATACAACTTATGTCACATTTGCTACACACATTGTCATTGGCTCATTTTCAGTTTGGTTTTTTTTTACTTCGCAATTACTTATACTTATTTATATTTTCTCTCACCATTGATGGAGATCTCGACTTTTCCTTTGAGAACGTAACACTCTGTGTACGAATAACAGAAACTTTAAATGAAAAGGTAAAGATACTTTTCAAAAATGTAGATTATACGTTTAGGGTACTCACGAGAACTCCTATTTATTAACTTGTTGATGTTTTTTAGCATATACAAGTGCTACTGACAGAGAATGAAATTTTAGCTAGAAATCCAAAAAGCATGGCATATGTCGATGACATCTTTTTGTCATATCACATCACTGTAAACATCTATTTATATTCGAGATCCTAGGTGTACTAAGATTATAGCTGTGATCATATTAACCCTTTATTTTGTGCAACGTGATATTGCTGTAAAACATTTATTACTACTTTTGGAGAGCTGTTGTCGTTCCCTAGAAACGTAAACCAATTAGTGCCATTTATGGAAGCACTGACTTCGGTATGTAAGTCTTGGAAAGAAAACATAGCTTACCGGGTAAATGTGCAAATACACTACATGTTTCAGACAAACTACATCTTCTTGAAGTTGTGGTGATGTTCCTCCGAAATGGTTATCAGGAGAAATATTATTTAATGTACACATGAATTCCAACAACACACTCAGTAACCTTTATGTCAACATAAACAAAGCAAAGAGTAAAGCAGAAGTAATTTTATTATGAATAGAATGTTAACAGAACTATTTTAGGCCGATGTATAACAATACATTTCGATTTCTGAAGTGAAAGTTTGCAAATTATATGATCAAGGCGTTCAAGAAGATTTTAATTCAATTTAATATCTGCTACCTTTTCCATTGGACAGTTGACATTTTCAATTGTTAGTTTTTTGGAGTTTTTTTTACTTCGCGTTCCCAGTGGAACATAGGGCTTAAAGCCACTAGCTTGAAGTTTCTATAGCAGTGTTTAATTTTACAGGATGGGGTTGCTAGCCTCATGCCCAACCTTTCCTCTTTACCGGCATTATTTGTGGCTCAGCGAGGTAAGGAAGTGAGTCGGCCGGGGATTGAACCCCGGACCATGTGCATGGTTGGCGAGCGTCCTAACCGCTATACCGCCGACGCACACGCGGTTTCGTCTCACTAGTTGGGACTCTTCAGCAGCAAGCACCAACCGGAGTTCGAACCCAGGACTTTCTAGTTAAAAGACGAGCTCGTATACCATTAAACCACTGGGACCACTGGGGGTTTAATTGGCTTCAAGTTTGATCACGGATTGCTATTAGTTAGACAACTATTGAGAAACAGGGAGAACTGAAAAACCACGTCGTCCCTTTTTGGGAATCTTCAGCAGTACGCACCCATGACCCCACTGGACACTGAATCCGGCACCTTCATGTCACGGAGAGAGCTCTCTGACCATTCAGTCAAGGCTCATGAATCGTAACTCCTATCATTTGACGATTACAGCTGGCACCGGAAACGACAGTTTAACTGGAAAGTTCAAAGTTGCTGTGTATGTCTTATGACACACTTTTCGCATTGATAACTTTAACTATTATTATTACTGTATTTTATCCTTCTATTATTCTGTCAGGTAATTTATGTAAAATGCATTGAATAATGAAAATATCAGTTTCGTTTTGAACAGAAAACTGCTTTTGTTAAAGTCTTTGATAGAAACATATTTTGAAGAATTATGGTAAAGTCTAATTCCATTACAAAGCTACATGGGAACATATACACTTATCTAAGTTTAGAATGATTGGTCACACACAATACGTGCACAAATACACAATCACACAATAAGGTGAGACGGAGCTACAGTCTTAACAAGTAATGTAGTTCGATGTGAGGAAAGGTTGATTACTGAATCTTTATTTCTCGGATCCACACCAAACACCTTCACTAAGAATGACACAACATCAACATTGGAGATATGTAAGGCGTTATTACTCATAAAATCAAAGAATAAGAAATAGGGGAACTATACAGACAAAATCTGAAAATTATGTGAGCACCTTGATATGATTATGAACAATAATTTGTACTAGAGACGTTATCAGTAAATAATACTGTGTCTCACTGAAGGATGCAACTTGTGAAATCCGTTTATGAGTCAGGGCGTACGTGCAGAAGCAGAAATTTTAGTTAGTCATTCTAATCACCCAATATTTGTTCACTGCTCCAAGGGATCGATTTCCACTTTCTTTGCGTAGATCTATTGAATCTGTGTATTTCCAGCCAGCTCTTACACAGGAGAACAATATTAACCCTGACGTACGAACATTTACGTGTCTCGTGAATGACGACACTGTTACTGTTGTTGTAGAACGCAACATTGCGTAACAATAAATCTAATTAATTTGAACAAGGAGGACAATTCATTCCTAACAATTACTCCATCACTTATTCTATAGAAAATTTTTACTTATTTCAATTATATTGATAATCGTTTAAAATGTCTTCAGGCATATCACTCCCGAGATTTTGTCAGTCTTGTTCACATGGAGATAGGGCAGTCAACATACATATAATTTTTAGGTTAAATTTAACAAACTTTTCTTCCGTCTTAGCTTTCTTAAATATTCGAATAACGAGGAAAGGAAATAAAATTGATAAGTTTTCAGTGTTTTTTCCTACATTCTTTATTTTGTACTAATGTGTATGCATATTCCATATTGCCTAGTATGTATGTATGTAAGTTGTGATATACAGTTTGCTAGTAATGGCAGCCTATGCGTAGATTTCTCAATACGGTCCGATAATATCGATAGTAAACTCTGTCATTGGACAGTTGGGAATCACGAGTAGATACATTCAATGTTTGCCTGGCAAATCAACATCATTATTAACACAAGTAACAAAACAAACACACCGCAGTCAATTCGAAAACAGCAAAAAGGCAAATTTAATACATTTATCTTGCTTTTTTCAATATTTCTCTCACACTTTTCTGTTCAACTAGGGGGAAAAATTAATCAAACTCTGTCCATCTACCTAGTTTTTGGGCATAACAACAACGCTCAGGTTAACTAACTTATCCATGTGCGTGTGTGTGTATGACAACAAGAAAACACTATTCTAAACAGAATTTCTATCTGTAACAGCGAAAATGACTGAGCCAAAATTAATAAAACTCCACTGTAAGTTAATAAAGATAGTACTAATAATGATGGTCGTTGCATATCAGAGCGATGTGATGTGAAAAAAAAAGAAAAATATGAGATCTCATTGAAGAATTTATTTCAGCGTAACTACACTTTATAATTCATACCTGATAAGAAAATTGTACATAGGTTACATCACTTACAAATAATAAGACTTTTAAATAGTCGAAATAATAATCTGTTATGTGAAATAGTGCTTAGTTTTACTTCCAATGTACACGTTCTAAAAGCCGGACAGTCAGTTTGGATAGGAAGGTAGATTTTTCAACTGCAAAGGATATTTTTTTTGAATTTAAGATTTTATATTCAAAGCAAACGGAGTTTAACAGGAATGAATTCTAACCGGTTGAATGAGAAACTATGCAAATACAGTGGACAAAGCTTACTTACTTAACTTTATACTGATGTTAATCAAAGAGTAACCCTAAATTTAATTCGATTGCATTCGACTCCATCAAACATAATGCCATGCCTGCTATAATTTAACTTCTTTCACTCACTTCCACTTCATATTGGATATAACTCATTTAGTGCGAAGAAGAAGTGAGAAAAACAAACTATCAGCCAAAATACTTCATGTTTAGGAATATCTAGTAGGATTCTTTAGGCTACTTGTAGTATTTATAAATGTGAGTGTGAGAGTAACGGTGCTGTACACTGTTGACGTCAACGCTAAATAACACTTATAGTGAAAACTATGAAGCTAAATGATTATTTGCAATTAAATGTTAGTACGATTGATAGTCACAATAATTTTTCTAGATTACTGTGTGTTAAGAACTGCAAACTTAAATTCCATCTTACCTGTCATTATTAGGTGGGTATAACACAATAACTCATATGTATAATCAACTCTAAAGAAACGAAAACGATAGCAAATTCTAATCTATTTCAAAAAATTAAACCTTGAGATTAAAATTGGCAAACAAATGAATCATATTTTTTAGACGATCTGCTGATAGCTAAAAGGTGGAACTAGGATTGAAAATGCTTCAGCGAAGAAGCGAAATAACTAGTGGGTCAACTGTGAAGTGATTTACCGACTGTTTCAACACTAATAAACGTAACAAAGATTCATGAACCTTGTTCAACAGTTATACGATGATACCATATACCAAGTAGTTTACAAAACAAAACTCAGCGAAGCATTTGAAGTGAAAACAGGAGAAAGTCAAGGTTGCTTACTGTCACCATTGATATTCCTGATTGTGGTGAACTGGATCATACAAGGTACTGTGGGGAACAAGAAGACGGATATACGATGGACTGACGAAAAAGCTTCACGGGATTATTTGTGTCTCACATCTCACAAACTCGAACATGTACACGGGAAGACCAACAGGTTAGTAGAAGAAGCAGTGAGGACACGATTACAGGTGAACATAGAGAAGACAAAGGTGAAGATACCTAACTATCAACTGAGAACATCAATCACCATCAATCAGCATCAGTGATAGAAACCTAAATGAAGTTACCTTTTTCAATTATCTAGTCAGTGTCGTTACACCTACAGATGGAACAGATGAGGATGTCAGAAAGATCTTCATTAATCTGAAATCGGTGTAGAAATCTTCTGCATTCAGCGCAAGGAAAAATATATGAATTTTCAATACTAATGTCAAGTCAGTTGCTCTATATGGTTCAGAGACTTGGTATGTGTGTCCCGGAAAGTGTTTCCAAGAGGTTGTAGACTTTTACCAACACTTGCTTTCTCTCCATAGTCAAGATCATATAACCAGAATTCTGAGAACGAACTAACCAAGAACTGATTACCCAATAAATATTCAGAAGAAAGTGGAGATGTATCGAACATACACTGAGTAGACTGATCAATGACATTACGGGCCAGGCTACTGAGTGGAAGCCGAATGGGGAACGAAATCTTTTGTGACGAGGAGGTGATCATGTGAGGAGAAAATGAAAGCTTATGAAGAGTCGCGAAACCAGTTACGAAAGACTGCAGAAAAGAAAGTGAAATGAAGATGTGCTGCTAAAACCCTGTACTCCAATAGGAACCCGAGGGAATAACAATAAGAAGAAGAAAGTGACTGGAAGATAGTTGAAGCCAAAGTGTCTGATACATACACTTCTTATATGGTAGGCTGTACAACATAAAACAAAAAAACACAACTATGCTGTGTTTATTCCAATTCCAAGTTGCATTGTTGTAGTTAAAGATACAAAGAGACGTTTTCCATTCATTATGTACATTCAGTCTTTCTTTTTTATGACAACGCCATCATTATTGGGTTTTTTTAAAATATTACTGAGTTAAGTAGAATACAAAAACTGCATAAACCTTAGCTGTACTGTTTTTACAAGCTGATCACGGAATGATATCAGTTAGAGAACCATTGAAAACAAGGGAGTACGGAACGGCTGTTTCATCCTAGTTTGGGAATCATCGGCAGTACGCATCCCAAATTAGGATGAAACAGCTATCTAGTACTCCCTGGTTTTCAATGGTTCTCTAACTGATATTAATCCGTGATCAACCCGTAAAAACAAAACTAAACCTTACAATCCAAACTATGGGAAAATAGTTGTATTGTAATGGAAGTGCGTCGGTGGCACAGAGGTTAGGACGCTCGCCGACCATGCAAGTGGTCCGCAGTTCGATCCACGGCCGACGCACTCCTTTACCTCGCTAAGCCAGTAATAAAAAAAGCTGTTAAAGGGGGAAGGTAGAGTATGAGGCTAGCAACCCCATCCTGTAAAAATAAAGACTGCTACAGAATCCTCAAGCCCCTAGCTTGTAGTCCTATGTTCCACTGGAAACGTGAAGGAATAAAAAAAACTGTAATGAAAATGATGTCTGTAGTGGTTTTCGTTAGCAGTACATTACATAAATAAGCTAATTTAGGCAAACAGGAAAATTGTAATTAAAATTATACGAACACATAAATATCAGGAAAATGGATTACGCATAGAATTCCTTATACATAAAAATTTAAAAGGTTGAAAAAGGTTATATTCATTTATTGAACTGTGTACAATTATTCACTTATAGGAATGTTCATGTGATGCATACTAGAATTTGCCTTAAGGGTTATTTTTATAAGACCACATATGTAAAGCATGTGTATTTCTGATCAGCATAAACTGACAATGGTTTTCTAAAGAAACAGTTATGTTTCAAAGAATATATAACATGATAAGCAGTGTGATTAATTATTGTTAGTGTGAAGTCACTCTTATTGGTATATTAAATCTATTATAGCATTACTAATACTAGTCATTCCTTACTGTTAAGTAGTCAGAAACAGTTGATCTGTTACTTTGATCAGTGGAACAAATATCTGCTTTTTTGAATGGCTTAAGTGTTTTAGAAAAGTACGTCAAAGACACCGTACACATATAAATAGAACAGTTATGGTATGCATGTTCTACAAGTTGAGGAACCATGATAAATATTTTGTTATTTAGTGCAGTGATAAAACAAGGAATCAGATCGGCCTCGAGATTTACACATATTACATTTTGGACTTCACAAGCTAAATATATATTTTATGTGTTACTGCAACATAATTATTGCTTACAATTCTGTAGCTTTGAAAAGAACATATGAATTAGAGACACATGCATGGTCGATTTTAGAAGCTAATAGGCTACATACTAGTATCAGAATTAAAGTTAAGACAAGGGCTAAAATTAGGATTGAATACAAAACTTCTGTATCAGGAAGACATGATAATCCCAATAATAATGGTTATCTCTTTGTGGTTTCTAGCATAACATTGTGCTGTGCTTCCATTATTCACTGCATAATTTTCAATGCTTGTCAGCAGAATGACAGCGCTGTTAAAGGTCACAGAAACAGAAACTAGGTCATGTGTATTTTGAAGTGAAGTACTAAGTAAAACGTTTTCAACGGCGTTAAACAGAAGTATCCTTATATATTATAACATTTTCTAGATGCTAGTTTGGTGATGCTTTCAAAGACAGTTCAAGGTTGTTAAATTCCGATTGTTCTACAAAATAAGATCATTCAGAACAGATATTTCCAGGGTAATAAATTTTATATGTTTACTAAGAACCAAATATGTTCATGATGACTGTTGGTCTTGAAGTAATGACCGTCACACCAGCAATAGTCGCCTGTAAGATTATCAGAATTATTGTTTGAATGAACACAAATTCAAATTGCAATGAAAGAAACTGTGCATACAACTTTAGTAAGTGATTGTTGGAAAAAAGTGAAAGTCATAGAGGAGAGTCATGTGATACAACGATGATTACCATCAAAACGGGAAGCAAAATAATTACATACTGGTCACATGAAATACAACCTGGTAAAGTAAAAAGCAGAAAAGTATAGCACATTTATTCTTCTGCTGGACTTCAGGTACCTTTCCTGATATCAGGTTAGATGCTTCACTAAAGAATGTCATCTAAAGAACGAATGAGAATCAATTCTGAAAGAAACGTGATCTCAACTATCGTGAAATTAAAACTATGTTCGACATTACCGTATGTAAGAACTAATATATCATTTATATCCCACCACTATTATGAAATTGCCCTACAACTATAATACTTTAAATGAACAAGGAGTCGGCGGTTCAGTAGTAGAATGCTCGCCAACCACCCATGTCATCCGGGTTTCATTCCCGGTCAAAGCACTCTTAAACCTAGCTTAACCAGTAGTAAGCCTAACTGAAAAGGGAGGTTGGGCATGAGGCTAGCAATCCTGTCACGTAAAGAAGACACCACCACTACTGATAATTCAAAGCTTGTGGCCTGAAACCCTTGGAACTCAAAGATATGAAGAAAGTACAGATGAATGTGTTCTCTTGTACAAAAATGCGCACTCTGTATGTATGCATGCGTATTAAAAGATATCTAGACTTATATCATATGTATAGACTTGACTTTAATGTTTCATAACAGTTATATATATATATATATCCTTCACGTTCCCAGGGGAACATGGAGCCTCAAGCTAATGGCTTGAAGTTTCTGTAGCAGTGTTTAATTTTACAGGATGGGGTTGCTAGCCTCATGTCCAACCTTTCCTTTTTACCAGCATTACTTCCGGCTTAGCGAGGTAAATGAGTGCGTCGGCCGGGGACCGAACCCCAGACCATGTGCATGGTCGGCGAGCGTCCTAACCGCTATGCAACCGACGCATCATTCATAACAATTACTCACCAATATACCTATATCGTCTTCCAGTGCATTTTATCACTTTTTATCGAAACCCCAATATGTATACAAACATATATAAAACAAGAGTATTTTCCATTGAGAATGACTACTAATGGGAACTGATGAAAAAATACATATTTTGTGTTTAATTTTCCACTATTAATTTAACTCCACAATCTAATTAGTCTACTAACAAAGAAATATTTGCCAAAATGCAAAAAGCATATGTGTATGTGTTAATGCGTGTGAACAAGATACTACTCTTAACCTGTGGAAATATCCTAATGAATAATGAGAATGGATTTTTAAAATAACAATAATAATATTAATAGTGATAAAGTACTATTTTTTTTCTATAAAACTGTCATATTCACTTCCTCAAAAACTAGATCAAATATACACAGTTCACGAGAACATTTTAGTTCATATCTGGATTATAAGCGACAGTCTATTGATCAATTTATCGATCGCCTTCTAACGGGTGTTTCATGCCACACACACACACAAGTCAATTCATAATGCATAACACTAAGGCAGTTACACAAATTTCATCGGTTAACTCTGTCTCTGAAATTTGTATTTACCCAGGGGTAGAAATCTGGTGGAGATAATAATGTGCACATATGTATATTTGAGATGATTACAGGCTCGGAACAGGCTCATGCAAAAACAGTCATAAACACTCTAATGAGAAGGGTTAACAACTGGATGGATCGCTTTGCAAGCCTATCTTATTTTTACCATTAACAGAACTTTAGAAACAATGAACTTGTTTTCTTTCACTAACAAAATGAAACAATAGTTCATATTTTACTTAAATTATCTAGATTAAGGTAAGCATACAAAAAAAGAAAGAGATGTTTTATATAATACGGTCAAGTTGTATTCCGTGTGATTTAAAGTCTAATTCTCACACAAGTAATTGTACACATATAATTTGCATGCAGACATTATGTGTATGAACAGATGAATAAGCAATAATAAGTGAAAAAAAGAGGGGAAAGAACGAATTAACTCACCAGTATAAATGATAATGAATAAATGGAACAAAAAAGAAAATATCAACTTACTCGCATTCCCTCATCGTTAGTATATTCTAGGTCAAAGTAATTAGCTTCAAGTAATCGAAATCGATCGACAACTGTTGCGAACAACTCCTCGCCTAATGCATGACCCTAATTGAGTAGGAAGATATAAAAAGATAATAGTAACAGTTACGCAAATGATAGAAAAAAAGTAAAAATAAAATAATGTCAGTGCTATGGACTCATTTGAAATTATTGGTTTCGCCCACCATATTGTGAATAATATCATAAGGCAGATAATTTGCAGTCTAAGATTATTGTTTTGAACTACTTGTTAGACACATAATCCCGATAAGAGTATTACGACATGGAATCAATCGGATGAATATTATGGTAGTAATAATTTTAAAAAAAGCAGAGAACCCCGGAGTTGGAGTAGTTACACAAGTATAGTGTATACTTCAATTTTTCTACCTTTTACGTCAAAATCAAATGGTAAGTTCCACTTTACTTTGACCAAGACTTTTAATTTAGGTTTCATTTAAGTAATTTTGCCTAAACGTCAGTTACCGTTTTTTCAGTGTACGAAAATGTGAACCACTTGATTAAGATAGAAATGATGTCAAGAATCAGTGATTTGAGATTAATGGCGATGAGGCACAAAAAAGCTGGTGGAGAAGTATTCCCTCCATGTTGTCTTACACATTCCAGAAATATTCATCTTCAACAAGTTACCTCTCCTTACATCTTTATCTGCTGTAGTTTCATGACATTTTCTTGTACTTTATGCAAAATACCTCGAAGTGTGGCAACTTAAACTGATGCACCTTGTAAAAAAATCGATAGAGACGTAAGTCAATCTGACCTATCTGCATAAATCTCCAACGTATCAATCACACATGGCTTTCATTATTACGTATAGCAAGAAATTAACTGAAAACTATATATATATATATATATGAAGTGATCTTGTAGGATGCTGTATGGAAAAACCAACATCACCTACAAGATGAATTGTAATATTCCATACAGCCGGTTCCATTTATTAGTTTGAATAAACAAAGAACGAACGTATTTTTACGAAAATATAAGCTCTTTTTTCTCGTGGATTCTCTTCAACCGCATACATCCTAGAAAAATCAATTATATGTTACAAAAATTTCTCAACATAATTTTGACAATGACTTCAAGCTATAGATAGAAAGTATAAGCAACATAATTTCAAATATAATGTAAGTAGACAGTTATTTAGTGTTGAAAAAAGTGAGTCTTTATGTCTTATTCAGACAAGGGGATGGAGTTCAGATTTCGCTTGGGAACAAGGATGGACTAAAGACAAAATACAAGACAGAACAACAGAGTTAATTCAAACATATTATGTTGGACAGTTAAGGAGGGTGGCGGTTACTTCGGTTTACAGAAGTCATTGAGATCAAAAGATTTCGACTCATCCTACGCACAGAGAAGGATAGTGTGACTAATCTCTCACTACCCTGATAATCATTATTGTTTTCTTTGTGTGTTTTTGTGTTTTGTTCTATTGCATAAGATTCCACTTAATTTTGGTTTTCACTCACTGAATTGGACTCACTATTAAGTTTCCAAATATACTAAATTAAATTATTTTTCTGTTTTATGATTTGACTTCACTATTCGCCCTAATCTCCTTAACTGTCCAACATAATATGTTTGAATTAACTCTGTTGTTCTGTCTTGTATTTTGTCTTTAATCCATCCTTGTTCCTAAGCGAAATCTGAACTCCATCCCCTTGTCTGAATAAGACATAAAGACTCACTTTTTTCAACACTAAATAACTGTCTACTTACATTATATTTGAAATTATGTTGCTGTAAATCATCTAACAATTTTTCGGAAATTAGAATATATCATGCGCAGCACTACGCTAAGTCAAAAAACAGCTAAGAATGACAGTCATTTCTGTACTGCAATTTCCCCAACTTTCAAAATGACCTTCGATGAGGTCAATCACCAAGTAATTTGTGAATTGTTTCAACACAGTGTTAGGTCTCAAATCTTAATCAACTTCATTCAAAAACTAAATGATGATGCTGCACACCAAGTGACTCACAACGAAAAACTCAGCGTAGACTTTGAGGTGAAGACAGGAGTAAGTCAAAGTTCCTTACTATTACCGATGATATACCTGAATCTAGTGCACTGGGCACAGGTTGTACTGATTATAAAACTCTAGAAGAGCTAAATTTCGTAAATGGTTTATGTCTATCGCCACACAAACTCAGAAATTTACATGTGAAAGTCAACAGCCTGGCAGAGGGAGAGGAGGAGAACGAAGTTCAGGTAAACACGAAGAAGACAGAGGTAATGAAGACACTCAACCCACAACAGGAGACACTATTCATCATAAATAGGAAAAATATAATGGATAGTGTCTCTCCCACTTATCTAGGCAGCAATCTATCAACTTCAGTCAACACAGATGAAGGTGGAAAAACCAATTAGGAAAGGGAAAGCAACACGGGAGTCTATTAGTCTGAAATCAGTGTGGAAATCTACTGCACTTAGCACAGAGAACGAGATCCGGATCTTCAACATAATTATAAAATTACAAAGGCATTTTCAGCATAAAGCATAATTTCATTGACAAATACCTTCGCTAATTACTGAAGACCTGATGGACAACCAGAAACAGTAAGCAGTAGAAATCTCAACCAATCAATCGATCAATAACCTATTGTCAAACAAATATACAGAATGCACACACTGAGGCGACATTAATATATTACCATACGCCAAGTCGTCGAATGAAACTTGAATAAGACGACGAGTTAGGCGTCCGACGCTGACATAAAAGAGATCATATGAAGGGAAAACAAAAGTTTGTGGGTATTTCATGAAGCCAGATGGAAGTGATGACAGACAACTAAGTGCAGTAGAGACGTTCTGTTGTAGAGCTAATTTTCCCCTAGAAGTTCAAGGAATGAATGATAGTAACAATTATAATAACATTGACATTGTTCACCCATGACGTTGAAAGGGGCCAAGTTAGGAACCGTCATATTCCCTTGTCAATATGTCGTTGCTAATTACTGAGTTCACTTAAAGATAAAAGCAAAGCTTTAATGCATCAGTTTGTGTTAAAGTAAATATAGTATTAAGATTGTTGCAAGTACATAATAGTTAAGATTTTCGAAATTTCTCTTTCCCAAAGTAACATAGTATGACTTATATCTTTTCATTTTGTAAAACACTCCTTACAGTAGCTAGGTAAAAAGCAAAGCCTTTTGATCAGGGCGGTGAAAATTTATGAACTATATTGTATACTTCTGATAGTAATTTCTTGGTAATAATTTGCATTATCACTCAGTCGCTTCTCTTTTGTGTGAACACAGAAAAAATCCTCCGGATTATGCCTTAATCTCCCAACTTTTGTTAAAAAGCGTATTGAACAATCTAGGACTATAAAGACGAAAATTGGTAATCAGATAAACGACTTTATCAGTGGGCGCTTTTGCATCACTAACTCATAAATGTATGAAGTCGGAAAAAAATATGCACGAATAACAAATGACTCTGTTTACCATATATATTTATCTAATCACTGGCATGATCTAACTAGGCGTAGAGTGAATACTTGTCGATAATGCAGCGCATTTTGTAATTATGCACATATTGAGCTGAAATGAGCCAGATAAACAAAATTGTTCAGAAACTTGTAAATGTAGACATTCAGTTGATAAGGCTACATTCAAATTTTTGATTATGGTGTTAAAATGATCTAATCTCTGTTTCACTGTACTAGAAAATGTGAATAGGCTGACGGTTACCAGACTGGAAATTATGCTGACCAGTAATTGCTGATCAGTGTGTCACCATAACTTATCTCCACAATACGAGCGCGGTTAAGTTTCTAAGTTCGGTGGAAACCGTTACGGTTTTAGACGTGTGTAATAACATGAACTTCCTGAGTATACGAAATGTATTATTTGGAAACATGATGTATCAGGACAACAGATTTTGGTATCGCAGACTATAGTGTGATTTGATAATGCTTGTAAATGTTATTAAGAGGAAAAAGACACACTACAATTACATTTTGACGTAGTTATTTTTTGTGAGTCTAACAGTTTTTATTCAGCATAATCCTGTGAATAAGATATTTTATGAAGTTTATGCTAGTAGTACACTTCGGAGGTAGTTCGGAGATAAAGCACCAACATTCTAAAGTCAAGGCTAAGCAAACAGTGATGAGTTGTGGTATCCATCCTGAACTAGTAATATCTGAAGGCAATCGGCAGGAAGCCTTGGACCTAGGTTTCGTGCTAGTTGAAACTTATCACCAAGGCGTCTCTGCAACCTTGAAGGAACTCATGTCCCTTCTGAGGTTCAAACCCGCGTCACCCAGTGCTGCAGTCAGAGACGTTACCACTGAGCTATTCGGGCTCGCCATGGACCTCCTGTAGGACTGTAATATCTATTATCTTATGTTCTATGTTAGAATAAATACACATCATATGTCCAACAAGAAGAATTAATATTATGGTTTGTGTAAAATAAATATTTATCATACGATAGAGTTTGCCGAAAATTGTACCTTTTAGTAATAAACAGATATAGACTTGTAAAATGGTCTGGAAAGATATTTGTAAGATATTTTTTGCAGTTAAAATGTCATACATTTATACCAAAATATGTTTTTTGCTAGAATGCTGCTATCACTCAAAAGAACCAATATTTCCATCTAATGAAAAAAAAATGAATTGAATAATGGAGAACATATCTGAACCAACTAACATAAATTATTGCCTCTTCAATGATAGAATAGATTAATAATCCTCACTGAGACATAAAACAAAGATTTTAGTGGAGTAAATTCTCTTTTCGACGACTTCATTTTCATAGCTGTACAATCGTACATGTATGAATTACAAGAGATTAACGAGATATATAAAATACAGAGAAATAATTGATAACAACAAGAATATCATGGCGAAGACAACACTATACGGTATGAGTATAAAACTTGAGCACTATGGTAGAGTATAGCTCCATTATGGATACGATTTTATTTTGATAAATTCACACAGTGTTATACAGTAATATTAATTGGTGACGTTTCTAGCACAAATTATTGCAAGGTCATCACTTAATGCATTTCTGGGAAAAATTAAGTGGTAAAAGCTGACCAACCTCATTTAACTCAAACAATTTATTTCATGCATTTATTCCCCTTAATGAATTTGAACAAAGCAAGAACTACAGTTTTAGCAGAATAAAATGGTACCATCTTTTATTTCGCCGCCTTCTTGTCAGCTGCTTACATGGCAAAGACATTATTAAATATATCTACAACAACAATTTTAACGTACTTGCACAGAGTTTAGTTTAAACAAAAATCAATCGATCAGTATACTCATACACTAAAAATATATACATATATAAATATGCAATATTAACCACTATTCCGAACAATAATAATCAAACACAATGGAAACTTTTAGCATTTCACATTCGGAGGAAAGAGAGGTGAAATTATCCAGTTACCAGGGCAAAGAAAGACTGATAACCGCTTCTTTCTGGACGCATAAATCAGGTTTCAGGCGCTTGATGGAAATGGCTTCAGCAAACTTAGGGAGAATTGAACTATTTTGCTTATTGATAATTTTGAACGACTTTTCAACGTCCACCTCATGACCCGTATCGAGAAGATGCCTGGTGATGGCACTGTTTAAAGCATTTGTTCCCTTTAGACGTAAGCTTTTTGGTACATGTTCAGAAAATCGTAGATATGCCCTTCTTTATGTCCTTCCAATTTAGTTACAAATTGTTTTATTATCACCTTTAATCTACACTAACGTAAACTGTGCAGCAAACATTTATTTCTTTTATAGTTTACTAGGAAAAACGTATATAAGCACTTCTATAGTTTGGTTTGTAAGGATTAGATTTGTTTTTACGAGTTGATCACGGATTGATATCAGTTAGAGAACTATGGAAATCCAGAGAGTACTGGACAGCTGTTTCGTCCTAGTTTGGGAATCATTGGCAGTACGCACCCACTGACAGGGTTCGAACCCAAGACCTTCCGGTTACAAGGCGAACTCGTATACCATTCAGCCACTGGGACCTGATGATTCCCAAACTAGGATGAAACAGCTGTCCAGCGTTCCCTGGTTTTCAATGGATCTCTTACTGATATCAATCCATGATTAGCTCGTATATAAGTATTTCAAGAAATCGAAAGGCTAACATACACCATACAGAATATATCACGGAATAATGTCAGACATTTCATTGAGTAAGTTTTGTTATCTGCTTTTCTAAATTCTATCGACGTCCAAGAATGCATGCAAAGTTGTTGTTGTTGTTGTTGTGAGTGATAAAATTACACATCCTCTGAGGTTTCTAGAATAAGCATAACACACTCTATTTTTGGGAAGTTCAATGAGATTTAAGATCACCTAGTAGAAAAACGATGTCCAAACTTATTACAACTACAATAGGGTAGTCAACTAAATTCAAATAAAGGTAACTGAAATGTTGTGTTTACAGAATTGTCACTGCTTTCAACTAAATTAAATTTTCTTTAGAGTTTTCCTACTTTTTTCTTCCACTTTGTATCAGACGCAGTAAAAAAAAGCCAAATGAATAAAGACGATACATTGGAAAACTTCATTTTATCTTTTCTCTGCACAATGAACTTTTATATCCACAAAAGCATTTGCATTTCTTTGAAGAAAATCCCTTTTCTTAACAATTAATAAACAGTTGAATACTTTAAGACATTACACTGAAATATCTCTTTCTACATTTGCTTTTTTTCACCTCATTATAGATTGTCAATGTCATGATGGGAAGATGACAGAAAAAGAATAACAACAAAAGTATTAGTTATCCCCACTACTGAAATTGTGCTTAACACAAAAAACAAAATGAAGAAGATAATTATTAGTGAAGATGAAATGTTTTTACACACTTTTTTCCTACTTTTTTCTCTTGACTATTAGTTCTCCTATACTAGCTTAACAAGAGAATTGGACGTTATGTGCTTGTTTTTGTAAAAAGCTAATTCTTAATATTGGAGTTAACCTTTAAAAGATATTAAGTGACCCTAACTTTAATTTACTAGGACTTTGTCAGTAGGCTTGAATAGACATGTCTAAGTGAAAATAGTTATTCACTCCAAATTTTACTGCTTCAAATGGATGATAGGTTAGATATAGGTATGTATACACTATAAATACTACTTGTCGCCATAATAAAATAGATATTAAAGAAATGTAATAAAAATAAAATAGATTCAATCTTTTGAGTACCGAGTGGAACATAGGGCTTCAAACCCCAAGCTTTGAAGTTTCAGTAACGGTGTTACTTTTTTAACCCAGTATTTCCTCTCTTCCAGGTTTCCTACTGGCTAGGCGAGGTTTAGGAGTGCGCTGGTTGGAAATCGAGTTCCGATCAGGTGAGTGGTTGGCGAAGATTCTACCCCTGAACCACCACCGCACAAAAATTAAAGTAATCGCTATCAAAACTGTTTCCCATATAATACACCAATAAATAATAAGTACAGTTCTTCTTGTGGCACCTTTTGTTGGATGCTTCTGTTAACAAATTTACATGATTAGTAGGTTTAACTTATAATATTTAAGAAAAATTTAAGCTGAAAATACTGCTGCAATTTTTAAAAGTGATACTGACAAAATCGCTGGCAAATCTTATGAAGTAATGTTTATAGTACTGTTGCTGAAAAGCTATCTCTTTGCCAAACTTTATCTCTAAAACAGCTACTTATTAATAACACCACATTCACATAATGCCAGTGTCTAATATTGCCAAAAGATTTCTTTGTCTGATTCAGAATTCTGGTAGTTTTTGAAACTAGAGATATCAAACAACTAACCTGAATAGAGGAATTCGTAAGTAAGCGAATGTTTAACACCGATGGCAGTAGAATTTATCACATTAAAAGTTGTGTAAAAAAAAGCCCTGTTACCTGACGGATGTCTTATGTTTGACAAACAATCAAAGAGTTTCTTCAGATAGAAAATGAACTTGTCAAACGAAACACAGATATTGAGTAACTTGATGAAGAGGGGTACGATAGACTTGTAAGTTTGATTTTTTTTCCTAATTTTTGTCCTACTTGGCAATGAGCTGAATAATAAATCAGTAACTGATTTACAGTTCTAAACTACATTCTTACAACTGGTAAGACCAGTGGTCTAGGAATTTTAAACTGTGGTGTAAATAAGGAGTAGTGATATTCCATATAAATACCTAGATCAGTCGATTGATGAACTTGTGCCTATTTTGAAATGTTATGTTTTGAATTAGCTATTGTAGAAACAGCAAACAGGTTGGTAATAAGAGGACAGTTGTTTAAACATAAAATCATCTGAATAAATTGTGAGTGCGTTAATGAAAGATAAAGTTATAAAAATAAGAATACAAGTTTTACAACAGAATTTTTTCTTTCATATTGCTTAATGAAATGCCAACTAGTTACATAACTGGCAAAACAGTCTTCTCAGTTTAAATTTCCAATACTTTACATAGGACTTCTTGTTTGTTTTAAGGACTAAATAAAGACTAAAATAAGATACAAGTGGACATTCTGAGATACGCACTTGTGCTAGCATATTTCATATGCTTTCATTCAGACTATTTGTTGTCTATTTTAAAATTCAAAATATCTGCATACAGATGGTTATTTGCATTTTATAACCAAAAATTATACAAAATCTAAACACATTTTCTTTTAACAAACTAAATCTTTGACACTTTGGCTCACTTATTAAACTTCTCTATTTATATATAACTTAGCATCAAATAAATGTGAAAGGAAAAATAATTGAAAAGATGATCCCGTTAAAATCCCAGTTCTACAGACTTCCTACAAATTATAACTAGTCTTGGGTTAAATTATTACCTCATTTTATTCTTCAGTATCACAGGGGAAAACAAACAATGCAAGCCAAAAAGTAGTGAATCACTAAACTTCAAAAGCTCCAACAGATATTTCTCTACAATTCTCCTGAAAAGACAGCATGCAGATAAAACGTAATGGAATCGAATGTGAAAATAAAGCTTTAATAAAGGAAGCAAGAATCTTGAAGATGAAGCAATATGGCTTTTGTCACTTGGTGATATGAAACTCAACAAGCTATCAGAAGAAAACGGGTTGAAATGTCTACTTCATCCAGATGAAAGATGAAAGCCTTCATGAGCTGTTAGAGTTTGTTGTATTTACGTGATCCGAATGAATAATACCGCCTTTCAAACAATGATTTTGGCAGTTCTTAAATAACATTTTACCTCCATAAGATCTGTTGGAAATAAAAGCAACTACTGTACTCTTAAATAAAGGCTACAATAGTCTAAAAGCATACCTTAAAATCAAAAGTGTAGTACTTGATGATTAATTGATTTTACTAATAACAGCTTCCATAAATACTGAGACAAGTAAGCGTTTAAGTCATATCAACCCAAATAAACAAACTAAAATCAAATGCTCCTTGTTCAAATAAGTACCGTTTGAAAAGTAAAAATGTCTACCTCATACTTATCAGTGACTACAGGTTGACGTAAATGAAGTCTAAAAATCTGTCTAAAGTATAAATGAGGGAAAAACTGACAGCTTATCACTCACCGAAATTTGAAAAGTATGTATGCTATCATCCAAATGCAGCACACGCACATGTGTCATACGTGTTCCTTTGCCAATACATTGCCCATCCATATTTTTGTATATACTGATGCTAATACCTTTATTGCTCTAGCAAACTTAGAGAGTCAGTGGACATTGTAATCTAGATCAAGAAAACAAGTTCAAAATAGGGTTAGTATATTCAAAGAGAACGTGCGTGTAGAGGTACCTTTCAAATATTCCCAGACAAAATTTGAAAGAAAAAGATAACCGTATCTGCCTACACAGTTACTATTCAAATGTTAACTGTGTGCAGCCAGCAAAAACAACATACTTGACTAAATACAACCCCCATACAAATCATAATAACAAGGACAGAAAAATACTCATATATCACTCAAAACAACATATCAGGATTGAATCACAAAACCTTTATTACTGTTCTCACATTTGCGTTCGCATAACGCCTATGCAGTATTAACATCTATTAACTAAATAGCATTATAAAACTTTATATTTCATAGTTACTTAAACTCAATTTTATCTTGGCTCTCTTCGCTGATCTAAATAGTTATTTTTTGAAACATTATGAATGTTAACTTTATGAACAATAGAGTTAACGTATCTAAATGCAATTTTTTAGCCATTGAGATGTTTTACTCAACAAAAAAGCCTCAAGTACTTCAGAACACTCTCCTCAGTCCCACCCAAACTTTTCAAAACACAGCTAATGTGGTAAAGCGATTGGATGTAAATTCGTAAATGACTTTCAGCACCACACAAGCGTGTTAATCAACCAAGTAAGTACTGCTGAGATCATGAAAGGAAACTGCGTTAATGAAGGATATTCTGAGTCATCAGCAAATATGGTGAGTAAATCACATGGTGCTTATGTAAAGTGATGAGAACACTCAATGACAAATGTTACCTGAACCCAAATCAGACTTAAAATAGCAGTTTAATAAAACAGTGCAACACTGAAATGCTGGTGTTAGTAGCAAAAAGATGTTCGTCGTCTCTGGCCAAGACTTTAAAATCCTGGAAAAAACCTTGTAAAACACTATGAACATATGTCGCAAATATCAAAAATTAAAGAGCCATTCGACGCTCAATTCATCTAAATAGGATAACAATCTAAAAACAAAAACATCCGTTTGAGGAATATAGTATTTCAAAGAAACAAGTACAAACATTTCATTGACGGTAACTGTATATTAAAACGAAACAAAGAAATCTCATAGGCAGAAATATTTGTCATCGACAGACTCCATAAAAACGAAATCACAAATATCAAATAATAATATAAAAAAACTAAAACGACAAACATCTTATGCCAACCAGAAATAATATCAACAAAATGAAACACTGCATAAAAATTTCATCGATTTCCCACACGAAGAAAACACATAAGAAAATTAACAATCTCATCAGAGTAAGTGGACACAAAAGAGGGAAAATTTCAATAATTCCAGTTCCGTCCCGCGACTGATTGGAACTGCACATCACGAGAGCACTTATTTCAGCAAATCCAGGGTAGTGTTCCGAATTCTCGGAACCTACTTCTTCTAGTCACTTATTTCACAAGGCATCTACAGTAATTTTCAATACTCTTTTGGTTAGGTTGTGAAGTTTTTCCCAATTTAGAAACGCTTCTTTGAAAACATAATTGTAAAGTGAAATTTCCTACTCAGGTTGAAGATAGAAAGATGACATGACTCTTGTGTTGACTTGTTTTATTATATTTCTGAACATACTGAACTAAATCCTACACACTTATTCCCTTCTGAAAAATAACTGGCAGTCGTGAGCGCACTCCCACTGTATCACAGCGAACCCGTTCAACATAAAATCTAAAGTTTATTTACCAAAGAAAACCGACTAGATTGTTCCATATAACTTGCTGTGCATACATGTGTTTGTCGATATAAACAGTAGGGAGTGTCGAATTGACAATCCTTGTTAAGTACTTCCCCTTTATCTTTTCCGTTTAATAAACTAATGAAATAAAACTTAATAGCATCAAAAATCTCCTATTACAATCACCGCAATCATTCTGCTTCCAATATTGATTTTAATTCTCATGGTCATTATTTATTATCATGGGAAAATTTATTACAGCGAGACCGTTCGATTAATTAGTTCTTGTGGATTTTCTGGTCTACTTCAGTTGAAATATTTATGAACAAACAGATCGGGGTTACCTCCCAAAGCGCAGTTTAATACTTTGCTTAAAAAGTCGGTCAAAAATGAGGTGGTCATGTGAACAATTTAAACAAAACTTTGCCAAGCAACCTCTCCTGTTTTGATGAATACGTGCTATACGACACATGGGGAACATTGTGATACCACACAATTACAATTGTTCTTACTGACCGAAAATTATCATATGTGTGGTCCATAATCCCTACGTTCGAGAGCTTATCCTTCAATCCGCTAGTTAAAATTATGACTGATTCACACATTTTGTGTACACGCTAGCTACTCATCGGTCCTCCGGATTCAACAATGTCTGACGAAGTGCACACCAGCAATGCTGAGGAAGTTAGGAACTGTAAAGTTATTCTGGAAGTTTATATGCCCTCTTGCAAACATTAGTGTCCAACGATACAGCTATAATGAAAAGGCAGACATTTGGTAACCTTACCACTCAGGAGCATCTTGTAGTTTTCCATATCTACTTTTACGGTCACCACATACCAGTAGTCGGTTTTTGAGTTTGACCAAAAGCAATCGCGTTTCAATTATGGGAACATGGTAGCGAATTCTACCACAAAATTATGGATGCATTAGTGATGGAAGATATGTGAACAGATGCGTTTACATGAATATACACTCTATAAAGCTGGCATTAACGAAAGACATACGTCCTCAAGTGATACGAGCGTTATCAGCACAAGTTTTTATCTAAAGTGAATACGTACTGACTTTATAAATAAAAGGTGAAGGAAGTTCGTCAAATGAATTGAACCTAGTCCACTTTACTGTAAAAGACCAATTCGTTTGTTTGTGGGGATTGAAAAACACGGGAGACAATCGGGTTTCAAGGGACAATATCTCGACGAGTACGTTGCGTTGTGATTGTGTGCTTCTATAATCCCTTCATACCATCGTTAATAAATACACCTTTTAGCAGCAGTAAGTGTTATGCTCTCTCTTCACTAGTTCGGGTGGTGTTAAGAAGAGCCTCGTCACCTGGTCAGATGGACCACACTAAAGAGTCAGTAGGTAGTATGGTCAAAGCTCAGATCTGGCAGAATAGATAGTCACATAGCGACCATGAGCGTTGTTTCTAGTTGAAGCCAACTGGAATATTGCTCGAAGTCGTTCAAGCATCCTATCTAGTTGGTCTCCTAGATTAATATATGTGTGAAACTTGGGCCCTGTGGTAGTAAGGAGTTCCATATTGGTTAGTTTATTGAATACATCACACAGTGAAACGGCACCATTGTCAACTTCTTTGTAGACAATAGTAAGGGGTGGAAGGATTGATTTTATAATGATTATTTTCGGGGGTGGTTGTGACTGAAGATTTCCGGATTAATCTAGTTTTTTCTCTTAGTTCTCCTACATTGCTACAAAGGCGATCGACAGTGTATCGCACCACTTCATCGTGTTGTGGGGTGGTTGGCACTGTGTAGGTTACCGGCTGAGGAGCTAATGTTGGAAGTAATTGACCAAATCCATTGGAAACGACATGCTGTTGCTTTTCTCCTCAGGTTCACTCAGAACACTTTGGTGACATTGATTGTCATTCTCTGCTTTGCACCTCTGTAGTTTCCGCGAAGCATTTAGAAGTACTATGACCCTGGTTTTGCGCCCCCTCTAGGATCCGAGGTCAGCTTTCGTAACATAGGATATGTTCACTGGCTTTGCTGTTGGTTTCTTACCAGTGTTAAACCACTGTAGCCAATTGCTACTAGAAGCTGAATTCGACATTCAGTAGCCTCGGTGAGCTGATCAGTGTGAGGCGAGTTAAAAGAAATAGTCTATTGACCAAAATTAAATTCAAAGCTCTAATAGGCAACGAACCAAGGGCCATTTAGTGTTTGAGGGTATGGACGTCCGCGAACAGTACTGGGTATATTAACGCGAGATCTCATAGCAACAATTTCTATCTCATTTGATTCTCGTAAAACAAATGCAAAACAATACACCACGATTGACATTTCAAATTACGAGATATATTTCGAAACAAAATCGCGTATTGAAACGGAAGCTAAGCTAGCTAGTTATCATGCACCAGAGTGACACGATGGAGTACCAAATGGCGGAGATGCTTGACGGGAAGCCTACAGCTAAACAAGTTGACTTCAACTCCAATGGTCAGCACCCAATGTTCACTGATGTTTCCTAAAATCACGATGTAATTATTTTCCTAGACATAATCTATTCCCATGATCAATAATTTTGGGGAATCATTTATCGCTATCGCTCACTCCCCCTAGTGGGCTTGTGAGGAACCTAAAACTGAGCCAGCCAGAAGTAAAAACCTCGATGTTTCCCTTTCGGGTGAACAAATTTTTTCGAGAGGCTTGGTGTCGTGCCTACTAGTCTGTCTGGCTATGCTAATAGGGTGTTTGAACATCGCTTCCTTGATGTCGTTCGTTGCATCCCATGTTTCGTTTGTTACTTGCCCAGTGCCCGTCGCACCTGGAAAAGAAAACAATAACGCCAAGAACCTTGTTGAGGAAAAGTTACCAAGTCGGTGCTTTTTTAAAAGAAAAATTATGTGCGTCTAGCATACATTAAAATAACGAAAAGTTTAGAACACCGAAAAAGTATACATCTGAATTTTTAGTGCATGCAAACTGTACAGTTATAAAAAATTGTTTTACTTTTGTTTAGTGATGCCATATCAATAAAAATTGATGTCTGAAAAGAAACGAAAATAATTAATACCACAAAAAATGAGGTGGGTGAATAGCACCACTTAGTTATGTTATATAGGTGTGAAGATATCCTGGGAACCCTACGGTACGTCCAGAACGGGTTTTCTTAGGGAGGTCGACATAAGATTTGGTAGCTGTCGCCGTATAAGTGACTTCATCAAGGACTAAACTATCTTTGGTTACTTGTGGATTATGGGGTACGCTTAGCTCTATGCTAACAGGATTACCCTCCAAGTACTCTGGTTTCAGATGGTCATTGCTCACGATGTCCTCGCGGCCATTTTTGTCCAAGACAAAGAATTTATCCAAACGTTTAACTATTTATAAGGTCCGTAGTATGGGGGTTCCAGAGGTCTGCGCACAGAGTCGCGACGAACAAATACATGTGAAGAAGTTTTCAAACACGGATGAACGAAAACATCAATGGACTGTGGACGAAGGGGAGCAGGTTTAACTGAACGCATTGCGTTTGTAAGCCTGCTGACGTATGAAGCGTGATCTACCACTGGTGGGAAGCTCGAGGGAGAAACAAATTCACCAGGCAGTCGCAGTGTCGTGCCATATACTAGCTCGGCGCTAGTACAACCAGCATCGGTTTTCAAGGCGTTTCGTATCCCTAGGAGAACTAACGGAAGGGATTCAGTCCAATGGGTGGTGTTTGCGGCTGACAGACCAGCTTTCAGCTGTCTGTGTAGACGTTCTACCATACCATTAGCTTGAGGATGGTAGGCTGTTGTTCGAAATCGCATGCAACCTATGATTTTAGTCAGGGCGAAGAATAAGCCACTTTCGAATTGCCGCCCGCGATCAGTTGTTATGGAAGATGGGCATCCAAAGTTAGCGATCCATCTTTCTACGAAGACGCGTGCGACTGTTTCAGCAGATACATCCTTGATGGGTACTGCTTCCGGCCATCGTGTGAATCGATCGATGCAAGTTAAAATATAGGTATATCCATGGGATTCAGGAAGGGGTCCAACCAAATCTATATGGACGTGTTCGAAACGAGCGTCAGGGAGAAGAAAGGTGCCAAGTGGGCTTTTGGTGTGTCTTATCACCTTGCACTTTTGACAAGCTAAGCAATGTGTGCCCATTCCCTTACTTCTTTATTAATGCCAGGCCAACAAAACCGACTAGTTACGAGCTTGACAGTAGTTCGAATACCTGGGTGAGATAAGCCATGCAACGTATTGAAGACGTTACGGCGATAAGGCGAGGAGTACTCGTGGAAATGTCGCATAGAATAGTATCTCTTCCCATACCTAAGGGTTTCTCAGCTAATTGTAGAGTTGTTTTCGACAACTCATGTTGAAGTTCGGCATCTTCTTTTTGAAGACGAGCCAGTTTTACAAGGTCTATGCCGTCGATTTGGGTGAGGAACAAACGCGCGACAAGGCATCTGCCACAGTGTTGTTTACTCCGGATACATGGCGAATATCTGATGTAAACTGTGAGACGTAATCCAGTTGTCGTGATTCCCTGGGTGAATACTTATCTGAAGGTGAGTTCAGAGAGTACGTCAGAGGTTTGTGATCAGTAAAAATTATGAATTCACGACCCTCTACCGAATGTCTAAAATGTCGTATAGCACAGTACATAGCCAGAAGTTCTCTGCCGAATGTGCTGTACTTCGTTTCAGCTAATTGAAGGCGCCGAGAAAAAGGCGAGTGGTTGCCATCTTTGTCAACTAGCTGTTGTAGAACTGCGCCGATTGCAGTGTTTGATGCATCAACCGAGATACTTAACGGTGCCGTTGGATCCTGATACATCAGAAGTGTGGCATTCGCAATAGCTTTTTTAATCTGGGTAAAAGCATTTCGAGCAGACGCGTCAAGTTCTATGGACTTGTTATTCCCTCGAAGGTCTGTCAATGGCTGAATCAAAGAGGCACAGTTGGGAATAAAGCGTCGATAATAACTTACTAAGCCGTTAAAAGTGCGGAGACTTTTCACCGTCTGTGGCTCTGGAAAGTTCAGTATAGCCTCGACCTTAGTAGCCAGTGGGCGAATGCCCTTGCAGTCAATAGTGTGACCCAGAAAGTCGAGTGAGTCAACACCGATTTGACACTTTTGAATATTAATGGTAACACCATGTTGGCGTAACCTTCAAATGCCAAGTCCAAGTGCCTAAGGTGAGTTTCCTTGTCTGGACTGGCAATGAGGCAGTCGTCTAAGTATGCGTATACAAAGTCGAGACCGCGAAATACTTCGTCAATGAAGCGTTGGAATGTTTGGGCTGCATTCCGGAGACCGAATAGCATACGCGGAAATTCAAAAAGTCCGAAAGGCCTAATGATAGCAGAACGGCCTTGAAGACTCAAGTAAATTTCCGCTGTTTTAATGGTGAGCCTACGTGCCGAAATCCCATTACTATAACTTCGCCGTTAGAACCAAGTAGACACGGTACTATGCCTTTCTCCATAAGAACGCAATATGTCACGCATCAAAACCAATAGGAAACCTATATGTCATCATGTCGCTTTGGAGAGTTTTCGAGGAAAGTCGTGTAATTTCGTCATCTTCAAGAGCTACTCAGCATTTGTGTATCGATGTGTGCCTCGCCGTTGCGACAAGGGATTGCCAACACCAAGCCATCAGGATTAAACATGTCTATGTCCCTGGTAGATGTGCCCACCTTTTCCACCAGACTTGGATTCACGCTGACCTCCGCCCGAGGACGAAAGTGGCACATCATCAGAACTGGTTGAAAACCGCATACAGCCGGCCGACTTGTAGTTTAAGTTCACAGAAATAGAAGACATCTGCAGTAACATTCAGTAACCGCTGCAAAAGGGAAACCCTGGAACGCGCTGGTAGGAGCTGCAGGGGATTTCTGAATCTCAAGCGTCCACTATAATGCATGACACGGTGACAGAATAGTCGAACCCTGAAGCAGTTAAGGCTTGCTGACCTCCGAAAGGATGATAAATATCCGGGGACTTGGCCTAAGATCAGTCGATCAAACTGATCTATTCCTTTTAATGTAGAAGGGTGTAGTAATTTTCTACCTGAACACAGGAAACTTGGATCAGAAACAAGGGCTTATTTTTACAGCAAATTACGACCTGACAACAAACCTGTATCGTTGTCTAGACTGTTCAATTGCGTTCATGAACCTCAAGGAGAGTCACACACATTAGCGGGTCATTGTGCTCTCCCGAGGCAGCGAAAACATTAATATTAATAATAACATTAATAATAAACAATAATATAATAAACATTAATATTGTCACAAGTAGTAGGAATGGACGGCAGTTTCAATATAGGAATACGACTTGGTAGGTCATGGGAAAACAAAAGAATGGAGAGAGAGTTACCGGAAATAATGCCAAACATAATCACAAGAGGTGTTCAAGAGTTGAAGTTTGGCAATGCTTGTGAGAAACACAAAAACGATATAAGGTGGCTGGGATGGATTTCATTTCATATGGCTATTAATGCTTTGCGGTTAACTTTGGTTTATAGATTATTTCTTTTAACTCGCCTCACACTGATCAGCTCACCGAGGCTACTGAATGTCGAATTCAGCTTCTAGTAGCAATTGGCTACAGTGGTTTAACACTGGTAAGAAACCAACAGCAAAGCCAGTGAACATATCCTATGTTACGAAAGCTGACCTCGGATCCTAGAGGGGGAGCAAAACCAGGGTCATAGTACTTCTAAATGCTTCGCGGAAACTACAGAGGTGCAAAGCAGAGAATGACAATCAATGTCACCAAAGTGTTCTGAGTGAACCTGAGGAGAAAAGCAACAGCATGTCGTTTCCAATGGATTTGGTCAATTACTTCCAACATTAGCTCCTCAGCCGGTAACCTACACAGTGCCAACCACCCCACAACACGATGAAGTGGTGCGATACACTGTCGATCGCCTTTGTAGCAATGTAGGAGAACTAAGAGAAAAAACTAGATTAATCCGGAAATCTTCAGTCACAACCACCCCCGAAAATAATCATTATAAAATCAATCCTTCCACCCCCTACTATTGTCTACAAAGAAGTTGACAATGGTGCCGTTTCACTGTGTGATGTATTCAATAAACTAACCAATATGGAACTCCTTACTACCACAGGGCCCAAGTTTCACACATATATTAATCTAGGAGACCAACTAGATAGGATGCTTGAACGACTTCGAGCAATATTCCAGTTGGCTTCAACTAGAAACAACGCTCATGGTCGCTATGTGACTATCTATTCTGCCAGATCTGAGCTTTGACCATACTACCTACTGACTCTTTAGTGTGGTCCATCTGACCAGGTGACGAGGCTCTTCTTAACACCACCCGAACTAGTGAAGAGAGAGCATAACACTTACTGCTGCTAAAAGGTGTATTTATTAACGATGGTATGAAGGGATTATAGAAGCACACAATCACAACGCAACGTACTCGTCGAGATATTGTCCCTTGAAACCCGATTGTCTCCCGTGTTTTTCAATCCCCACAAACAAACGAATTGGTCTTTTACAGTAAAGTGGACTAGGTTCAATTCATTTGACGAACTTCCTTCACCTTTTATTTATAAAGTCAGTACGTATTCACTTTAGATAAAAACTTGTGCTGATAACGCTCGTATCACTTGAGGACGTATGTCTTTCGTTAATGCCAGCTTTATAGAGTGTATATTCATGTAAACGCAACTGTTCACATATCTTCCATCACTAATGCATCCATAATTTTGTGGTAGAATTCGCTACCATGTTCCCATAATTGAAACGCGATTGCTTTTGGTCAAACTCAAAAACCGACTACTGGTATGTGGTGACCGTAAAAGTAGATATGGAAAACTACAAGATGCTCCTGAGTGGTAAGGTTACCAAATGTCTGCCTTTTCATTATAGCTGTATCGTTGGACACTAATGTTTGCAAGAGGGCATATAAACTTCCAGAATAACTTTACAGTTCCTAACTTCCTCAGCATTGCTGGTGTGCACTTCGTCAGACATTGTTGAATCCGGAGGACCGATGAGTAGCTAGCGTGTACACAAAATGTGTGAATCAGTCATAATTTTAACTAGCGGATTGAAGGATAAGCTCTCGAACGTAGGGATTATGGACCACACATATGATAATTTTCGGTCAGTAAGAACAATTGTAATTGTGTGGTATCACAATGTTCCCCATGTGTCGTATAGCACGTATTCATCAAAACAGGAGAGGTTGCTTGGCAAAGTTTTGTTTAAATTGTTCACATGACCACCTCATTTTTGACCGACTTTTTAAGCAAAGTATTAAACTGCGCTTTGGGAGGTAACCCCGATCTGTTTGTTCATAAATATTTCAACTGAAGTAGACCAGAAAATCCACAAGAACTAATTAATCGAACGGTCTCGCTGTAATAAATTTTCCCATGATAATAAATAATGACCATGAGAATTAAAATCAATATTGGAAGCAGAATGATTGCGGTGATTGTAATAGGAGATTTTTGATGCTATTAAGTTTTATTTCATTAGTTTATTAAACGGAAAAGATAAAGGGGAAGTACTTAACAAGGATTGTCAATTCGACACTCCCTACTGTTTATATCGACAAACACATGTATGCACAGCAAGTTATATGGAACAATCTAGTCGGTTTTCTTTGGTAAATAAACTTTAGATTTTATGTTGAACGGGTTCGCTGTGATACAGTGGGAGTGCGCTCACGACTGCCAGTTATTTTTCAGAAGGGAATAAGTGTGTAGGATTTAGTTCAGTATGTTCAGAAATATAATAAAACAAGTCAACACAAGAGTCATGTCATCTTTCTATCTTCAACCTGAGTAGGAAATTTCACTTTACAATTATGTTTTCAAAGAAGCGTTTCTAAATTGGGAAAAACTTCACAACCTAACCAAAAGAGTATTGAAAATTACTGTAGATGCCTTGTGAAATAAGTGACTAGAAGAAGTAGGTTCCGAGAATTCGGAACACTACCCTGGATTTGCTGAAATAAGTGCTCTCGTGATGTGCAGTTCCAATCAGTCGCGGGACGGAACTGGAATTATTGAAATTTTCCCTCTTTTGTGTCCACTAAATCGGACGAGATTATTATATTTTATATTATTATGTATTGATATGTTTACGCTCGGTGTATGGATTTAAGGTGATTTGTGTGTTTTCTCGAGGTGTATTGCAACTTTGGACCTCCGTTTTCCTTACTGTTGTTACACGCGTGATTCCAGAGCGGAAGTTTTTTGAAACTCTTGCGGTTCGACTCATATAGGGGAATAAATGCCTGGAAGCCTCAGCAATGTGGAATTAGTAGGTGGCGCAGTTTTCACCACGATTATTCCAGTTCTTTGAGATGTTTATTTTTATCCAGTTATCGAATGTCTATATTTTTGCATTTCGTAGTTTACCATGAAGGTGCATCCACTTATGGTATTTGTGTGGTTAAGATTCAATTATCTGATGTATTAGTCAAGACACGTCTGCTGACTGATATCGAGTTTGTAGACGTAGTTTCGATGCCATTCGTTGATTTTCGGAGACTTAACGTTATTGTTTACCAGAGAAAATTCGTTAGTTAGCGTGCAATATCGTGGAGACTACAATAAGCTCTTAAAACACCAACATTATATATAAATATATATTATTATAGTAATGATATCCATATACATAAATCAAAATAGGATGTGGTGGTTAAAACATTTACTGTTAAAGCAGTAGGGCATTAAAGATACCAATCACCAAAGTACAAAAGAAGAAAGAAAGTGGAAACTATGCGAATAAAAGGCACAAAATTTCGTGAGTGTTATAAATTAAGAAATGCATTTGTTGACTGAAAAATCAGCTGATTAGCTGTGAATAATGACAAAAAATGTCCGTATCCTACAAGAAATATAACTAAGTACATAAAAAGAATCACAGAATTAATAAAAATAATATAAATTTCATGACACAGCCTTTTAAATAAAAGATATGAAATACATTTTACTCCCTAGGATCATTTAGGAAATATATTGATGTAAGATAACGGAATTATGTTCTTATTTAAAGAAACTTGAAGGACCTGAGGATGGAAATTTAGAGGCAAGAGATATGTGGAATAGTGGTTACTAAAATGTCTATAAACAGAAGTATGAAACTAAGTAGAGTTTACACTCATTGCTGCTTTACCAGCCTGTTGCAGTAAGTCTCTAGATGTAAGCATGCATGACGTAGCAATGAGCAGATTCCATCTCCTTCGTGCAGCGACAAACCGCAGGGCCGCGACTTCACCATATGTACATCCTCCTGGAAACGCCACAACGACAGGTTGGTCAGTACTCACAAGAGGTAAAGGACGAGGTGCTGGAGCGTTTGGACGATTCTTCTTAGAAAACATATCATTTTGATAACCTGCAGCGGTTAGTGACGGATCACAAAGACTCACAAGACCTAGATTTGAAGCAACTTAGAAAGACAACAAAGTAAATCATGTAAACTGGTAAATTACGCAAATACTATTTTCAAGTTAAAAGAAATTAAAAATTATTTTGCACACAGATCTAATTATGTTTGATCCTCATAAGTTTGTCAGTTATGAAATATACAGCAGACACTATTTATGAGAAAACAGTACACAGAAACGAGGCTGTTAGCTGGAATAAACAAGGTGTCAATGAATTAATAATTTAATCATATTGTACAGGCAGAATAAGTGCGTTGTAGTGGAACAGCGAAATGCAGTTAAAACCGCAAATCAAAATTTATATTCATCTCAGCAAACACTAAGTGTACATCTGGTCATTAATTTATACGCTTCTTTCTACCTTAGAATATGTGGAACTATTTCATGAAGAGCCTAGACACCATCTTATTTAGATGAATATTCACAACCCATAAGCTAATCTGAAAGTTGTTTACTTAATTGTTCAACCCAAAATAAACCGGATCTCAAAGATGTCAAAAGTAATCAATCTATGATATTTTAGCTTTTAGTATTGAGACGTTAAAAATGGACCACTGTATTCTTGTAACACGTTTTTAATTCAAGATAAACTTCATTCATGAATACAGTGTGTTGTTTTCAAGAACGTTTTTAAACACACAATGACTGCTGTGGCTCATTACATTTGCATATCATTTCCGGACTGTGTGGTGGTGTTGCTCATTCGACTTGCCAGCGCAGAGGATCATAACTTTGAATTCCTCTCCAATTTACGACAATCAAAAAGACAGGTATTACAAGCCGTTACGCAATACGTTTGGTTAATTATTAAAGGCGCTAAGATACATTCAGTTGTTGGGGAATTGGTCCTCACTAAACGAGAATAGAATAAGTGTTAATCAGAATAAGGATTTCACAAAAAAGACAAATTGAGTTTTTCGCTCACAAACAGCCACAAAAAATAACGAAACTAGTGTGTATAAACACTGGTCTCAGAACACTGTATGAGTTATCATAAATGAAATAAATAAAAAAAATAGAGGAGCAGAAACCAGATGTAGTTATTTTTATATACTCTAAAGTAGGAAATGTTGTTAACCACACTAAACAATAAAAAATTGGCTTCTCATCAACAGCTCTCAACTCATATATCTTCTATTTAAAAGAGTATTATTAATCTCAACATACGGGAGTGGGTAACGCGACTATGTGAACAGTGAAAGTCATACATCGTATCTCATGTGTGTTTACTGCTAGTTTTCTAGTAGTTCGATTTTAACATGCGGTAGAACTAACCGAAATTTAGCGAACAGGTACAACTGCCTCTTTTATCTTTATCAGTTATTTGAGCAGCATGTACAGTCTTCTAGAATAAGCCCTTAGCAAAATTGCTAGTCAACTTCTTAGTTCCTAAGTATTTTAAATTTAATCGTTAAGCACAAACAAAGTAGGTTAATTTATTCACACATCCTGCTTGATCTCTATTGTTTTAAAAACCATATATTATCTAATAGCGTGTGGTTATGTTCTATAAATTGACTGTATAACTGTATTAGATGTCTTCATATGTTAACTGTTAATCTTCAGTTAAGTAATCATTTCAACACCTTTTACACTATATAATTGGAATATCTTTTTATGTTACTACATTACCATTTTGAGATACTGGTTAGAAGTAGGAAAAACATTTTTAGTCAGGTATTGGGTTGAAGGGATTTGATTGGTTTCAGGATTTCATTATGAACTGACATCGGTAGAGAGCCATTGGAAAAACCCGGGAGTACTGGACAACTGCTTCGTTCCAGTGTTGGACTCTTCAACAGTACGCACCCACCCACATGACATCCTGAAACCGAGGAAGAATCTCAAACTGGGGCGAAACATCTGTACAGCACTCCCCAGTTTTCCAGTGGTTCTTCTAACCAATGTCAATTCATGATAAAATCTTGAAACTAATCAAATCGCTGCAAACCAACTTCTGAATATCAATCTGATGCTCACTACTGACTGGCCCTATTCAGGAACTTAGAACCTGGTTTGTAGTGGGAAGACTAGTGGAGTACAGCAAGTCAGGTATCAGTACAAATACCCGCTACAAATAAAATTCGCTAGTGGTCATGCCATATCGTGAATTGATAGAAGTCAGAATCCATGTGCCGTTTGATCGGGTCCCAGTGGCTTAATGGCCTACGAGGTCGCCTTGTAACCGCAAGGTCCTGGGTTCAAACTCCAGTGGATAAGCACTGCTGAAGATTCCTAAACTAGGATAAGACAGATGTCTGGTACTTCTATGTCTTTCAATGGTTTTCTAACCGATGTCAGTACATGATGAAATCCTGAAAACATTTTACTTCTTCGATCAACTCATTTTATTCTAAACATCTAAATGCGAACCAACAATTTTTAATACAATATAATTACCTTCACTTGAGAGACCCATATGTTTCAATGCTTCAGTCAACTGTGATTGATTAATCAACTCAAAATCTGAATTCTTCTTGTCGTAAGTATAAGAATCTGATCGAACGGACTGAAATTTAGAATCCAAGAGACCAGATGACCAAATAGACTCTGCGAGTCGGACAACCAATGGACAGTGTTGACCTGAATACACGTATGTGGGTGAGACAACTGTACGATCTACGTGTCGGTTAGCTTGATTCCAATTACTCAGTTGTAATAAATGGTGCAGATAACTGAAACAGTTAAAAAAAAAGTAAGCTTATACAAAGCAACTGTAAGAACAAAACAAAACAAAGTAACTAATCATTAGATTTCCAAAATATGTTATAAATGATTTAACAAGTAAACATATGCAGTGGTAACTTGTCAGTTTACGACAACAAGTCATAAATCAGGAAGAACTAAGGAGATTATGTGGGCACATCTACACGACAAGAGATTTTTTACTGATGCAATTATCAAACAGTAGGTTTACGAATGATTCAAAGTTATTTTACCTCCTAACATAATCAAGATTCAGAAATAATCAGTCACATTTAACGAATGACCTGAAGACATAATTCCCGAACAAGTAGAGTAAAATCAGAATTAAGATGAGAGGAGTAAATACTTGACAAAACTGGAGAATAAGTACTTCTGCTGATCTGTCCACTTCCAAAAACTATCGTTTATTACGTAGCAGTCAAATTGAGTAAGTCGGTTATATAAACATAGTGCAACAAATATTTACTGACAACCTGATGTTTTCTGTGTTAACTTTCGAAAAAACTAAAAACAAAAACACTGTATCTCTACAGGTGTAATTGAGTACTTGAAATGAGAAGTCAGAGATCAAATTTGTACCCACACATCTGTTTTTAGTACTAACTATTTTAAGTTACACCATAGCTATATATTATGTTAAAATTCCTACATCCTTTGATGGAGTTTATGAAAACACCCTAGCTAACAAACGCAGGTCCCAGTGGGACTTACTAATTCCAAAAAACTTTAATCGCCATTTCAAACAATCTATTCTGAAATCTTATACTTTGGATATAGAGTTATAGACAAAACGTACACCCTGCGTTTAGATGAAAGGAAAGGTTCTGCAAGAGGAGGATAAAACAAAATATTTAGGAGTATAAGACAGAAATAAAAACAGTAGAATGTAATACTACCAAATGAAATGAATTAGACTGATACTTCTATATGAAAGATGAATAGGGATAATTTTCAAGAGTTAGTTTGTAAGGATTCGATTTGTTTCAAGTTTGGCGACAGATTGATAACAGTTAGGGGAACCACTGAAAAACCAGTGAGTACTGGACAGCTTATCTCCTCTTGGTTTGAAACTCTTCAGGAGTACCCACCCACTGAGGTTCACACCCAATACCTTCCAGTTACAAGGAAAGCTCTCAGACCATTCACAACTACTGTGACCTGACTCAATGATACATGAATTCTAATCCCTCACAATTCATGATTTTAACGCGAGTGTCATAGACGAGTATTCGTCCTCACTGTCCACAACTTCTCACTGAAACTCCAGGCAACGTCGTCCTGTGGCTATTCAATAGCGAGTATCAGATTAATTTTCAAGAGTTAGTTTGTACAGATTTTATTCGTTTCAGGTTTGACCAAATGGATCCAAAGTGGCTATGGATGGTCTAATAGATTTTTTTCGTAACCTGAAGGTATTGGGTTCGAGCCCCAGTGGGTGAGAACTCCTGAAGAGTTTCGAACCAGGAGGAAACAGCTGTCCAGTACTCTCTAGCTTTCCTATGGTTCTCTAACTGATATCAATTCATCGCCAAACTTGAAATAAGGATCATTGTCGAGTTATTCATATATATATATATATTCTGACTTACTTATAACGAGATTTCTGGCGATGTGATAATCTAAGCTTCGAGACAGCATGAGGTAGTGATTTTCCACTCCTCTTTGTTGAATCACTCGCTTGACTAATAGTTGCATTCGACTCTGCTTCAAATGAACGATTAGTTGCCATGACTGACTCAGGAAGTTTGGAACGAGGACACATTAAACCAAGAGAGCATAATGCTTCAAGCATTGGAAAAGTAATTTGACCGGCAGCATGCATTACAGCGCGATACATCATATCGTACAATTCTTCACTGAGACCATCATGTAAAACACAGTTCAATGCCGCCAGGCGGAGACCATCAATCAAATGATCACCATGGCTACAAAAGTAAAAGCAAACTGTAAAAATTAGTATTCTTATAAAAATTCTGCTGAATTCATCAAAAAGGTGAAGCCACAAGAACTAATTGCATTGATTTACACATAATGTGAATTGACTAGATAACAGTGAGACATTATAATTTTCAGCTTGATATATAAATGTGACAGTCTGGAGCACATCGCAGTGACGCTAGATCTCATTTTGATACTATCTGTTGGATAATAACTACTGAGACTGCCTGACACATTTGATAAAAAACAGTTTGGCTGAAGAAGGAAACAATCTTGTGCCGAATAAGGATGGAAGTCTGTGACAAACATAATCAACGGTTTGTGCCACAATATCTCCCAGAAAGAGTACAAGAAACATCTTTCAAAATTATATATATATATATTTACAACACTTCAATAATTGCCTGAATACACTTTATGAGATACATAATGCAATGGTACTGTACGCCACTAATTAATTGATGCGAGGTTTTTGATGCTTCACATCAACTGATAGTGCGTGCTATCCAGATCGAGGTGATCTAAGTACCTTAAGGTCGTTCGGTCTATTTAGGGTCAAGGTCAACTGTTGTGTACTTGGTTCGACTCAGCTGTGAGAGCCGAGCATCAGTGGTACTAAGCGCAAACAGCAAACATACTCTTAGAGATGACAGAGATGGTCAACTATCCAATCACCTAAAACTTTCAGAAATTAGAAATATTAAAATCTTCGGAGTTCAAATACTTTAGGCTGAAATGAAATAAAAACTTCTAGGAAGGTTTTACTTCATTCCATGAAAATGTATGCAAAGGTAACAGAAAAATTTAAACGTAAGAAAGTATTTTCTCTGACAATTTATTCGTCCTGTCAATCAATAAAAGTGTGAATGATAAATTCGAGAAGATAATTCATATAGTAAAAAAGAAATACTGAGAAAACCATTATTACATAATGAAGTGATGCATATCACAGTTAAGCGTGAAACATAAGAACTAGACTAGAGGATAAGAGTTTTCAAATTATATTCCGTTGATTACTCAAATCAATAATCACGACATACTAGTTACAACGCTTTGCAAGTAACAATAATTCCAACAATACATGTTTACTGTAAAGATAATGCCCAGCATAAAACCGTTGATGACCACTATAAAGAAAAAATAGTGGCTTACTGACTGGAAATTATATGCATAAATCATACAATTAAGTAGAATTACTGAAACTCTCTATACAGTTTAGATTTATAATATCTGGGGAGAATCAGATACACTATAAGTTGTCTTTCCTGCAAGTTGAAAGAAAATCTTCAATTTTTAGTGTTTACACTTCGAATAAGTTTTGCTTGATAGATGGATATGAAACCATAGCTACCTTGAGTAAAGAGTAAAAAGACGAGTAGACGAAAGTTTAATCCTTACGTCATGGATTTTCCAGAATCTAATTAATTTTTTCACGACTTAAAATCAACCATCAAAGCATAAGAAAGAAAGGACTACGAAACATCTATGTTCCCCTCTGCTATAACTCTTCGGCAAGGCTCCTGAGTATATGAGGAGTCTTGTCAAGTAATTTGCTGGTGATACTTAACTCTATATCTGTACTGGAGTAGGTTAAATATATTTTAATACTTCAATTCAGCACAAGAAAAGATTGCATAATAACTAAAGACTTTTCATAAAGCTGGTCACCACAGACACACTTGAATAAAAAGTGAAAGCTCCTACAGCAAAAAGAAATCAGCGGAAAAGCCGGTATTCAAACTTCAAATAATATATAAATGCAACTCACTGAGTGGTCAACCATTCCATAGACAAGCGCATAGGCATAGAATTAATGTCGTCAGCTAAATTACCACAGGCGCCACCAGCTGAAACTGGAGTTGTTTTCCTCTTACGATCAACATTAGAGTTATCATCATCAGTAGGTGGAATTCCACTTTCAGCCATTGCCAGAGTTCCACCACTTCCAGATTGTAATAACAATGTCTGTGCAGAACGCAAATCTTCTACACGTTCTTTACGTGTCATTGTATTCAGTATTTGTTCCAAACAGGCTAGTAAAAATGACAATTCACGCCTTTTAACCAATAATGGTCCTAAACGTGTACTGATATTACGTAAATTATGATTTTCAAAATTGACACTATGAGAAGTGTGTGAGTTTTGATGTTCCGTAGGATGACCGACCAACTGCATTTCTAAATCTCCACGAGAATCTTGTAGTTTACCACGCCACTCCAAAAGTAAAGAGTGTACTCGAGATATATGAACATCTCTAATTTCCTTGAGAAATGTTGTGTTAGAAAATGAAATGAATGAGAGGAATATATCATCTGAACAGCAAAAAATAAATAAATGTAGGTGTCCATGAAGTTCAATCCATTAAGTAAAAAAATGATACTCGACATGAATAAAATAAAATAAAAATATGTGGTTTAATAAGTTGCATACTGCTGTCTAGCACACTAATACAGTACTTTACAACAAATTATTATTATATCACATTATTATACTATGAAATAAAATTGATAATAAAATTACATTCAGTACACTGAATAATAACACCAATATGACGATAAAGGATTTCTCGTTAGAAAGATAACGTACAAATAAAAAAAAAGACGCGAAGTATTAATATATGTGTAAAACTTGGGCACTGTGGTAGTAAGTAATTCCATTTTAGTTTGTTTATTAGAATGTAAAGTAGGAGTAGAAAAGCAGTTACACAAACCAAGTAAAACCAGAGTGTTGCAGCAATGTTTGACTAGGTTATATAGGTAGTGCCATCAACCTTCCATGGGTTATAAAACACAAGTATGCCCAGAGGCATCCAACAGATACCGCGCCTACATTAGATAAGTTTATTTTAAATGCCAAACAGTGATGCAGTATTAACAACTGGATGACAAGGTTTCGAGAATAAATTATTACTCATAATCATATCAATTTAGTCACACAGTTTTACGGTTTGTCTTAATGAATATATATATATATATATATATATATATATATATATATATATTTCTCTCTTACCCTCTCCTCCTTGTTATTTGTTACCGCTTTCCACATCACTGGTATAGATGTTACGTTGCGTCATTTAGATTCCACCTGTGTGGTGTTGAATCGATAAACAAAGCTTCAGTGATTAACTAACCTCTTTCTTCACCTAACTATATTACTTTCTAATACTTCCACACTGTCACATCTACCCTACTATGTGATCACATGCAAGTGAATGCAATGCAGTGGCTGAGCTGTGTTTTGACTAGGTTATTTAACCTAGCCGGGTCAGTCATTCAAGGTCTAGCTAAATTTTATGTTCCAATAATCTAGTTGATCCCGATCTATGTTATTGACCTTACTCATGGTCACTACATGGTATTTGGTAAATTATATCATACATTTTCTTAATTGGATCTCTTGGGTTCTTAAGCCGACAAAGTTTATCTCTGAGAGACTCGGTTGGTTGGTTTAAATGTCACCCTAATTCCAGCCTCATTGAGAATCTTACATAAGGCCTCTGATGTTCCTTCTGTATGCGGCAGTACTACAGAGGCTTTGAATTCCACATTATTTTTGTTATTTTCATTCCTAGCCGCCTGCAGAGGTGTATTAATGGGAACATTACTTAATACACTGGTTATGTCAAAGCTAATCATCTTCCATCTTTTTCTAATTGAATTTCCTCCAGCTTTAGTTTTGTTATATAGGAATCAGTTAGCCTAGAATTTCACCTATCTCTAATGGGGCGTAATATTAATGCTGTTTCATGGGCGTTAACTTTGGCGCAGCCATTATATCCGGCATTTTTGTTGTCATAACTTGTGGCTGTGAAACATTACTGTTGAAGATGGGAAACGGGTACCGGTTTCGACCACAGTTACCATCATTTGATCCGTAATGTTGGGTGAAGCAGTACGGTCAGAAGCTCCATCTAGTGAGATGACTGGGCACATGCGATGCATACTGATGGGTTGATTTTCTTGACTGGCCCTTCAGCTGAGATAGGATCATATTTTGGACCCATGACCATGGTAAACTGCTCAATTATCAGCAAGTACGGATTCAATATTAGAATGCACTTATATTTATCGACTTCTAAGAATTTATCACCCTGCCCTACATTTTTCAATAAGTTCATAAAATAGCGAAAATGTAAACCATAAAATCAATACATTGAATTTACTATATGACATTCAATCAGTGCAATCCAACAAAATTATTGAATGAACTCATATAAATGTGAATGTCTCTAAATAAGTATGCATCTTATCATATATATAAACAATAATTATAAAAGATAATGTAATAAAAATTACTTTATAGTATTGTTGTTTCGTACTATCGAGAACCTGCTTCTGTGGAGTTGTTTCATCGACTAGTTCAAGTGGTAGTTCAACTTGACCTAAATATACAAGTAAAGAAAATGAAAATAAAGGTAAATATCAAGACTAAAACATCGATGCGATAAAGCAAACAGCAAGATGAAACAAAGATGAAACTCTCCACGTTTTCCTTTCAAGGGATTTACGAGGCAGTTGTCTTTATAACTAAATAATTTTTAAACCAACTTAAAAACCCGGAAATACTGATTTTGACCTACAAACAGTTTGACGGTATTAAAAGCAAAGAAACTCTCGAAGTGGATTTGAAAGCTTGGATTCAAAACGAATGGTGCATATGGATGAAAGAATCCAAAAAACGGAAGCTGTATGAATCTGTTTCCGGTCATTTAAATGTACAGAACTGATACTTTATGAGGTTCTCTACTGCCTTGACCATCATCCAGAGAAATCTATTCGACATACATTGATTGCAGAACTCTTTAGCATTGCCATCAGACTTCAGTGATGTTGGGGTGGTATTAAGTACGAAGGCCAGACCATATTATTCCCCTCCCCACCCCTTCAAAAGTCATTAACTTGTTATTAAACTATTAGGTCCAGTTAGAGTAAGAATCACTCAAGAAAAGTGTTTTGCTTTAAACATTTCTACCTAAACACAAATAAATTGTAACCAGCAGGCAACTCATTGTCCTCAACCAAGTGCGTTTGGAAATTATCGTATCGTTAATTGAGGACTCTGAATGTAAAGGTCCTCCAGACTTCCAGGACAGTCATTAGGCTGACCAATGTGGATTAGATGGTCGTAATTTGGGCGACAGAGTTCGTAACGGAGATGGAGTTTAGAAGAACGTCACGACAGCAAACTGTGAGTTCTTGCACAGATCACTGAAGCTTCTTGACGCCTTTTCGTCCATTTCAGTGAATATTAAGCACAGTAATCCGCGTAAAGCTTCTGCACATGAAATTAAGCAGGGATGAAAAAATGGGCTGCAAACTCTTGTGGTCTCAACGAGGTAAAATAAGTAATTGTATTTCGTAATAGTTGAAGGCCGTTCTAGGTATAGTGAGGGTAGGGTTATCTATATTCGCTACTTCTGCCAATGATGTTCAGCAGAAGGCGTGAAAATAAATGCGTACTGGCGGCACACAGAGATACTATTCATAAGTATGAAAACGACATAATCTTGTGTTATAATATACACGCTAGCCAAATCGCACCTGGTTGGTGATGTTAAGCCTTCTGAGTTGTCAAATTCAAGAGTATGTCAAGACGACTGACAGGAACCTATGTCCGTGACAGACATACTCAAAAACTCTGTGTATTGAGGTGCATATGGGTATTAATGGAAGTGCGACAGATGAGATCAACAATCGTGTGACGAAAGCGAAATTGGTATTTTACTATTTGGTGTCTTCCTAATGTATGTCTGACGATCGGACGTCGGGTGTGCTGCGAATATAGTTTAAGCTGCTCTTGATCTTAAACAAAATAAATTGATACGATATTAACGCACTTAGTTTTCTGAGGAATGAATAGACCGTCTAAACTGTGGGAAACGGAACTCCTCTGATTACTGAATACAGAAATTGTTAACTAACATTTCACACAAGATTTACCACCCAAAACATAAAAATTAGTACTCTACTCTCCAAATACACAGACTTTGTTTCTGAATTTTGTAATTTGTTAAATTAACTATATTTAATATTTACGGGATGCATGCATTACTGTCAACTACTTATTCCCGTGGATTAATGCATCTTGAATGCAAAAGTGGCTGACATGACAGCGACTTCAGCTTGCATTTACTTAAAGGGGGATGACACTGATTAAATTTCCAACAGTTGTCTGATGAACCTTCAAACGCCTGAGGAATTCATAGAAAATAAGCATTCAGAGCAAATACTTCGCTTCATTGATATAAGAATAAAATTTGTGCACTGTGGTAGGGTGTATGGAACTTCGCTTCATTGAAGATTTGATTCTATACATACATACTACCCAATATTTGCATAAAAATGTATAGCAGCATGACATTTAGCCAGACATAAAACAATTACAGAAAGTAAACATACATTTATTCAGATTAAACCGCTGCAGTATGCATAACTTGCGTACAAATTCATATTGACATGATTATGAATAATAATAATTCGTGGAAAATTACCATTGTAACATAGAGAAAATCAAAACAAGTGATTCAGCGAAGAGACTCTTTTCAACGAATTTATTATCAAGCTGTACAAACTTAATATATATTGTTTTTTATGAAGTTATATCGGGTGACGGAATTGATATATAGGTGTGAATGCGTAAAATAATAATAGTAGTAGTATGAAATGCAGTTAAAATATTTGTGATTATAATCATAGTTAAATGTCAAATGTTATGATTCAATTCCCTCACCGGATACAACTTCTTAAAAAACAATATATATATATATATATATATATATATATATACGATTGTACAGCTTGATAATAAATTCGTTGAAAAGAGTCTCTTCGCTGAATAACTCGTTTTGATTTTCTATCTATCATTCAGTTATTAATACTGCATTAATATGTAGTATTATACAAACTAACCTAATGTGGAAAAAATGCATCGTATAACACAAAATATATTATGAAAGGCGAATAGTGTGACCTGTACTTTTGGTAATCTCCATTTGTCAATCCAAGCATGACAAGAATTCAACCACTTAGCCTCAGCAACACATGCAATAGGTACAGCTAACAGTTTTTCTAAGTCTGTATGCAGTCACTGAAAATTCGTATCAATATGGAAATAAAATCAAACTGAATGCATTCAAAAACACACTCCAGTGCTGCTGCCTAATGAGATTATATTATTTTGATAGTCTAATTCAATCAGACAACTAAATCTGATTAAAACAAACAGAGTGTGAAGCTTGTATCGATACTGTATCAGTACAAAATGCGACACTCACAGCAAATCACAACGATAAATTTATTTTTTAAAAATCGAATGTTACGGTTTCGATAGCAAGCAGGGAGTGGACGAGGAACAACACGAAAGGTATCTGAAGCTGAGAGGCCCACAAACGAATGCATTGCAAGCAGTAGGAGAACAACTCTTTAAAAAAATTAAATGAAGGGTCAGGAAGAAAATTGTTACCTCACAACGTGCCACTCGAACGTAGTATGAGAATTTCCAAAAGCACGGCATTTGAATGAAACTGTATTCAACAGAAATATAGGCATGTATTTAACGTAATCTACTTGTGAATATGCTTCACTTATTAATGAATTTAATGCTTCAGATGTCACGAAGCTTGGTGATTAAATGTCTGTGGCTAAATATCAAAGCCATGAGAACATCGAAAAACTTCCACAAACCTCAAGTACAAATATTTCTTATTATTTCTAATTCATATATTGATGCCATGTTCTGGTTTAACAGCTTTAAAGCTTAATTAATCTTAATTTACCTACCGTAGCCCTCTGAACTAGGTTGTAATTAAACTTTCATAGCATACACCCCAATTATCTCTTTTAACTTGCTTTCAGATGTATATAAAATTGCACTTAGTCGAAAATTAGCAGGTCTAATCCAGCAGTTCTACTACAGGCACAGGATTTCTTTAAAAATTAATGTAAGTTTAGAACTTGGGCACTGTGATAGAATGTTATTCCACATTAGATGAGTTTATTTTATTGATTACACAGTGACGTAGTATTAACAACTGGATGATGCTTCAGGCATCAATTATTGCTCATAATCATATCAATTTTGTTATGATATAGAAAATTTCGTAGGACAAATTCCCTTCACGATTTGAAGAACTATGTGAATTTTATTTGAACTACATAAATGGGCATTTAGAGATACATTTTTACTAACGACAAGGGATACCAGAATAAAATGTTATACCTATGTTCACATAAAGGATAGCTTACGACAAGTAGGATTCAAGAAGATAAAAATATTTGACATAAACTCACCTAATTCTATGCCAATTACTTCGTGAATTAAAGCTTCAAATGTCATTGGGACTAGAAGAGGAGTTATATAATCCAAATCTGTAGGTGTGTATAGAAAAGTTCTACAGTTAAGCGAGTAGGAAGAAACAATCAGATTTATTTAAAATTGTGCCTATTAAAATAAGTGGTCTGGTATTATCTATAATTGTACGTAGCTCTAAAAAGATCAGTAATACGCACATTAGGGATACAATAAATAAAAAGACTTCGTGAGTGAAATCATCTCGGAAAACAATGGAACTTTAATAACTCATGCAACACGGTTGAAATGCTGGATAGAACATTTTGAGGAGCAGTTCAAAGGGTCTGTAGAGAGTATCCATCTGAAGCCAGCATGAGATGTAGATGCTAAACCCAAAACTTAGCTGAAGTTGCAAACGTTGTCTCTAATCTAGAACGTAGCGATGGGGCAGCAATGAATGGTGGCACTACAGATAGGTTTGACGGTAATGATTACGAATTTTCGCTTTGATCCACTAACAAATAAGCTAAAATATATGACTGAGATAGTTTTATCGAGTGGTGCAGATCACTGACCATCCAAGTCAATAAAGATACACCTTGAACAAAACACTGATTATGTTAAAAGCATACACATCGCACCAGTCAAAATTAAAACAATATTGAACAACCAGATTGAGCCGATTAAATTAAACAAAAATGGAGACATTGGGCATCCCTGGCGAACACCGTCAGCTGTCATTACTATAGATGGCAACTCTCCATAAGCTCTCCCACAGCTGTGTGAGTTTGAGTAGAATACCCTGATTCGTACAATAAACTTTCTTGGCATTCCACTGCCGGACATTACCACGGTACCTTTCAATTCACGGAGTCAAACGCTGACATCAGGTCAAGAAATATGGTGTTTGAAACTGGTTAATATACCTACATTCCAGAATCTGTCGAATGTTGAAAAATATAATTAATAAATTCTCTTCCTGGCCTGACTGATTTTTCCGGTTTATGTAGATTTAAGGAATGTGTTTTGCCTTCGATGTTGAGCATCACAGTTCTTTCTGAGGTTGTTTTCCTGCTCTCGTCCTTAGTTTCTCTTTGTAATGTCATTTGTATAATTTTTCTTTTACACTTTTGTGAACTTATTTAAGGCACGGATACTTCCTGCTCATTTGTCTGAAGTAGTTTAAGAAATAATAAGCTTTCTTCAGTAGATTAAATTTTCAAAGAAGTAATGCGAACTATACGTATTTTTTAAAGACAGACAAAATTGTAAGAACTTACCACGACTAAATATGAGAACCAATGGTGGTGGGCGAAGGGATATACTCGACAATGATGCTGACGATGAAGACTGTGAGTCTAAGATTGGTAATGAGTTGTTTTCATCGAGAACTGATCCATTTCTTTGATCATTTAACTGTGAGTAAGCATTGTTGGAAGGCTTTTTATCCATGTTGACTAAACCTGATTGAATACAATATAAACGAATACCAGCGGCAACAACGTGTGAAGCCTCGCCTAGCGCATGAACCTAGTTATTGGAAAAAATTACTTCTCTACTTAATGAAAATTTTTAATGCTGAGCAGCCAATAATCAACTAAATTTATACTTCAAATGTAAAATTTTTGTTTGTACAATGCCTGACATAATTCATTTTCTCTTCAAAAGAACAAAATGTTGCTATGCAGCAACATCATATGGCTCCAAATGCCTAATGTATGGGGCTAGCAATACTACTCAAATTCCCATATCTCCGTAAGTGAAACACGTTTTGAACTAGAAACTAAAACATCAACATCAGCCGATTCATTCTGTATGTTTGTCATAATCATCATTTCATTTCTCAAATAAAAAATAAAGTGGTCTAGTGGATAACGCTTTGGCGTTTGAAACTATGGGTACTGGGTTCGAGCCTCAGTGGGAACATCATCACTCACTGAGAAATGCAGGCACATCCAGATGACGAGTCCCAAATAGGACGAAATGCGCATCCTGGATTCCACTGCTAGCCACTATCCACCTATTTTATATAAAAACTTTTAGCTGTTAAAACAAAGGTAATATAGACATGTAAATAAAAGTCTACCATCAGAAATAAATGGTTATGGAATTACCGAATTCCAGTGTCTTAGGAAAAGGAAACATTTGCAATTGCTTTCAAAAAGTTTGAATTTGTGAAATTCTCAGTAGTTGATACATAGTGTCCTTTTGCTACATGCTAACTACTAGTGAAGCATTCTATACCTCCAAACTATACCCTCAGTTCATCTTATTTACGAATACTATATACAAACACACTACCCTCAATTATATTAAACATTAATCAACATTAGGATAAAGTTAACTGATAATCCCAAAAGCAGATGTAAGATGTAACAGTAACTGCCACTGTCAATTAAACCTACTCGACAACCCATTGGAGCCAGATCGCTTTCACTTGTCAGCTTAAGTAAACGTCCCAACTCCATACCCATATAGTGAGGCCAGCTGTAGTCTTTGTATAAATAAAAATCTGGATATAAATTAGGCAGATTTAGAGTTACTAAATCCGTATCCAATTGAATCCAACTTAGTGATAAACTAGCGGTACACACGTTCCGACCGAGAAATCCTCGAGATTCCAAAAGATAAGTCATTGCAGCAATCTACAAAAAGAAGTAATACAACGCGAAAGCACTAGATTATCTACAGAGCACACAAACACAATAACGGGGTTATACACTGGAAATAAACTAACAGCGAATGAAAAATTGCACTGAGTTTTATGGAGCATACAATTTTTTTAAGACAAATACTGACTGCAGAAATCCGAAAACTAAACTGTCTACGCTGAAAATCCCTAACAAATAACTCTAAGACATCTTACAATAAACAGCTTTCGGCTTACTTCTTATATATAGAGGTAAACCTAGTTACATATCCAATCATCCTGAGAATAATGGGCTAAAACATACGTTTTAGTAGCAATGCTCTACTGAGCACTGATGACGCTTAGTATCAATTTCCTTCCGTACAGCCTCCCTGTAAGTTATAGCAAGCTTTCGTTTACATTGCTAACAAGAGAAATGTTACGAGCAAAAATAGGCATGGAGAGAGTATTTTTACAAAAAACGAGGAGAGAAATGAAAGTAGCTGCTTATAATGTTTGTAACAATATTCAAGGTTTTTGGTCAGTAACCCAAAATAGAGCATTGTTTATCTGGTAATAATATACAAGAAGCCGAGTTAAGGTCAGTGGGTCAAGAAAAGCAATATAATATAATATACATATAAACCAAAACCTGCGGTGAAGATGGTGTCTAGAAGGATGACGAAAGCTTAGCAATTAAATCATCCAGCTCAGGGAACACAACGAATTTTATATGTAATAATGATGCAATAGCATACACATTTGTGAAATATATTGAATAGCTGTCCTTATTTCACCAAACCTGCGTGTATTTTGAATTGTCTATAGCTGAAGAGAAACCTCGAAATAAAATCCACACATTTTAAGGTGTTCTTCTTGTTTTGGCAAAGACGACTAGGGAGATATGCCGCGTGGATGCGCCGAGGATATCCAGAAAATAAAAGCGTCGCAACTGAACCATCCAGCTCACCTGAGGTGTGGTTCTTTTCTATAACTTCTAAGTATGTAAGCGTATGCAGCATATGCAAGTGAATCTTTAATATAAGTATAAGACAGTATGCTGGACTAAAATATTCTTAAACATCCATTTCTTTATATGTACGTGCTAGTTTAAAGCGTTCAAATATTGAAATTAGAAACGTTCCACAGTACATTGACAAAACTCTTCGGGATACAATGGTAACCAAATCAAATTTAATCATCACCCTAGACATTTTCTTAATGTTATCCCCACATAATTTGGGCATACACACTAATGAGCACTAACTCCTTTCAAATGTCATTCTTTTTCAAGACTATAAGGATCCTAATACAAAGAGTAACATTAAACAAAAGCCAGTAACACTTAGTACTTTTGTCACAGATAGCTAATTAAGTACACTTAACCTATGGTATCACAGATAATACATATTTTAACCACTCACTGTACTACTATTCACCAAATCACATACTATATGCTCATCGTTCCTTCCTTTTCCATAGTTTGTATGCCTAAATACGCTCTAAAAGAAGTAACAAGAAAAATCTTGACTGACTTGTGCAGTACTAAGCTACCGGACACCAGCTTGAAACCTCATCCAAACAGTTACACAATTAGAAGTGTCAAAAAAATTAAATTACATTCAAAAATAACATCACTTTAATAATGCTAATAAAAGCCAAGTCATACTGTTTTAATGGATGACCGTTAAAAATTCGTGTACCTCTTTAGGAACAAATATTATCAATCTTGTCCGTCTGATATCCTTCGATTGATCAACTTCACAGTGTTTGATAACTGATATGCAGGAGTCAAATTCGGACGGAATCATATAAGCTATCCTAAATAGTTTCCAAAAAATAAAGGCGAAATAATTATTTCTTATTTGTATCAGCATTTGGATTTCATATATATATATAAATTATTTTTTTCTTTTGACAACTCTAATGATGTGTGTGAAGTTTAAGTCAAGACTAATATTTTATTAGCCAATCATTAATCAGGAAATTGTTACTATGGCTGGAGAATCTCCCATATTGAGTTATAAACATCGAGGAACGTTTTCTCTTCAATGACTCACTTACATGAGCTTACATTTAACAAAGAATTCGTAAAACCAAGCATATTCCATTGACTACATTCTAGAAAATGTATTACGCAGTGTGAGATTTAATCCAGAAGGAAATGGATGAATCGATATGAATAGACAGAAGTTGAGATTACATAATGAGCGTGCAAAATGACTAACCAATCTAAACTTGCGAAATGAACAAGCGCTAATGGATTTCATGCAGAAACTTAACCACCAGATCCTGGGTAGGAACGGCTGGATGTATGGAAAATCTTAAAACATAGTCACCACTGCTCGTTTGTTAGCAAACATCTCCCATTATACTCATCAAACGAGTACAACTCATTTGCTTGCGCAATGAAGTCACTTGCTAGAGTTTAACATGTGTGTTTCAGGTTTCGCAATGGAAAGACAGTTACAGTTGGAGACAGCTACCAACATGTATTATGATCTTATAATACAGCCTTCTGGCAGTGCCAAATCACCAGCATTCAAAAAGTACTTAAATCAAAAAATTAAATTATTGGAAGAGAAATCCACTTTTGAGAACGATGAGACCAGCAATCAACAACAACCGATAAAACGGAGTGGGTTATCAATCTCTTCACATGTGTGTCAAGTACCACAGAAATGTGTATCAGAAAAGGGATTACATTTCAGTGTAGAGGTAGACAAGCTGAAACATGAGGATGTCATCCCTAAAATAGAAATAGCACTAAGTGGGATAGACAAAACAACGGCTGATGAAGTACGGGCACAATGTGCACTTACATTAAAACGACAAAAATGGGGAAAGCCTAACCTAGCGTCGGTGGTATAGCGGTTAGCACGCTCGCCGACCATGCGTATGGTCCGGGGTTCGATCCCCGGCCGGTGCACTCCTTTACCTCACTGAGCCAGAAATAATGCTGGTAAAGAGGAAAGGTTGGGCATGAGGCTAGCGACCCCATCCTGTAAAAGTTAAACACTGCTACAGAAACTTCAAGCCACTAGCTTGGAGCCCTATGTTCCACTGGGAACGTGAAGGAAAAATTATTATTATTATTTATTAGAGATAGAAGCCCTGAAACACCTTAAGGACATCACAAAGTCAGACAAAAGAAATGCAACAGTAGTCTTGGACAAATCAGACTATTTGGACAAGGTGAATACTCACATAAAAACAGGACCATATGAGGAAATTAATAAACCAATAGACAAAGTTATGAATAAGGTTAAGAAATCAACATCAATATGCCGAATGAAGCCAATTCTAGGTGAGTCTAAATGGTTTAATTTAATGCCCACAACCATACATTAGGATGGGATAAGGTGACAGTTTTAAAATCTAAAGTAACACGATGGAGGGACAGATCGATAATGGAAGCTTTTTTACCGAATCAACTGCAAACACATCTAACAGAAATGGTTCAACACCTGTCCCAGACATCTTGAAAATTTTACTACCCCTACGACAAATAGGAAAGAATAAAGAAGGCTATAAAAAGGAAGTTTCAAAGTTGTGTGGTTATAGTGATGTGATTACGAAAAATAAATCGTGTTCGAAACGTCATCCAATAATTAATACTGTTTCTATGTATGAATTATCTAATAAACAAATTATTACGGAATTATATACTACCACAGTGGCTAAATTTTACACAGTATAATCGGTTTACTGATAGCGAAAGGAAAATATTTGAGTGCGTTCATCTGACTCATCTAGCAGCACGATCCCATTATACTACGACAGTAATCACCTCTGGTTTCATAACTTTAATCTCTGCCGTATAATAAAGTATGACTAATATACTTTATTGTATCACACACAAGTCTGGTCATTTCGTCAAAGTAAAAGCTGTCAGGAGGAATGATGATTCAGTGTTGCAGACCAACAAAAAGGTGTTATAACCAAGCGTTGGCCATTAGTTATGATCCTCAGGGGAGGCTTCTGTGTATTTTGATAAGTCTGGTTCTGTGGTAAATAAACATGCAATAAAGATTACTACGACCAAACTAGTAGATATTGAGTTACGCTATATGATAGAAAATCTGATCTTTTGCTACATATAATTTCATATGCTTGATATAGTCATGTTCGACATTCAAAACCTGTCAGAGTCAAACAACTTACTGATAACTACCCTAATTACGCTGAAAGAAAACTCGTACGTACTAAACTTACAATGTTACAACTACAGCCAGCGTAATAGTACCATAAATAAAAATCTGATCATCTACCCATCAATGATAAGCTTATCAATAAATTTTGTCTGGATTTTTAGTGAGAGCTTGTAACTAGGGCATTAAGAGAAGACTTAATGGATGTGTGACTAAAAATAAAATTTGCAGAATTTGGAAATCATAGTCAATTTCATATCTATTCGGCTTACGTCAGACTGCTTGTGTGAATACAACAAAGAACACTTCTCAGCTAGGATGATAGTTTTGAGACACTTGTTTTTAAGTGTCTAATTACCCGTCAATTCGTCAACCGAATCTTGGAGCCAGACAATTATGACAAAATAAAACTCCTTAAAATGACGCAAATATACACAATCTACAGATCCTGTTGTTTAACTCTTAAAATTAAGATATATTCTCTAATACCTCACTTAGAAGAGTCATATGAGCAGCTTCCATCGAAAATACTTAAGTATATTGCCAATCACTTGGCAGGATGTATCACGATACATTTGATAAATCTGCATAAGAGAAACTGCACCAAATGCACCATCGAAATAAAGAGAATAATCATTAAAACATTTTCTAGTTCAGAAACGTACACTGTGTGACTTGTTAAACTTGTGATTAGTTAAACTGTATCTCTTCGGCTGTATTATTAATCAAGGTTTTGTAACAGTATTACTTATTAAACCGAAGAAGTAAAGTTGCAAAAGATAACACGAACGTTCTTGTATCAGATGTCAGTAAATATATCAAGATTTTACATACTATAGGAAATTATGTACACAATACTAATGCCATTAGGACAATTTTATAACCAGGGAGATATTGATTAAAACAAAAGGCACGTAAACCAAAACTACAAACACTTGCTAAAGTATGTAAAGACTTGGTCTATTTCAGAGTGGCTGGTCTAGGACAGGAATAACAATAAAATGCGTGAGGTCTCTAAGTCGCAATGAGGAGGAAAATAGTTTGTTCAAATAACTTAACTGGCCACAGTGAGTAAACAAGGCATTCTTTGCATTAAATGAAAACATGGAGAATGAGAAACAGGTCCCAGTGTAAATTTCCGATGGTGTATTAAGAACAACTATCTACACTGAGGTATCATTAAAAATCCAAGGGAATATTTAGGAGTTACGCTGTTTTGACATAAAATCAAAAAGAGACAAAATTATTGTGTTGCTATGTCGTGTATGGAATCCATGCTTGACAAGGTTATCGTACGCTAACTGGAAGCCATGCCAAACATGGCTGAGTCACCGACAGTGCGTGACCAGGTTGCCCTCCTACCATATCAGATAAACTACTGCAATAACCATTCCTTTAGACAGCACTGTTGGTGATATATGGTTCCCTTGTATTGCTAAAGGGAGTAGGGGTTGCTGATGCCATAAGAACCCACACGGGTAAACAGCACACACAGTACTCAACACTGATGGGTGGGATATGTTACCTTATTTCACAGCGACATACACAGAATCGCCCTAAAATACTCTACCAAGTTTATCTACCTTCCTGTTTTTATAGCCAACTACGGTTAATTGGTTTGTGAGAGTCGCAATACCCGAAAAGACAATAACTTGTTAATTAACTGTTATGTAAATATTACGGATGAGGTTTCTCAAAAGAACACAATCCTACAAGGCGTCCACAAACGATAACTGGTTGGTAAACAGAAATCGAATGTCCTAATTTAATCATATGTCACCAACTCAAGGGATAAATTGTATATATTTCACCTCTTTGGTGATGCAACGCACTCGCATTTATACCACTTGCATGTGACTTATTGTCAAGATATTTAGCATGAAAACCGGCTATCTGTGTGCATGGTAAATCTCAAAAAAACAGAAAGCCTTTATATTTCCCGTCTTTGCCTTAACTTTTCATTTTATCATAATCGTTTTGGTAGGGCGTAAGTAAGTCTGGAAATTAGTAAGTACAGTGATTCTCAATCAATAATAACCTTTACATAATTCAACCAACCTTTCATAGTCCGCTTTAGGAGGGCTTTCAGCAATCTTAAAAACTTTAGTAACAGACAGCTGCCTTAAAGTTGACATGCTTGCAACACGATCAAGAGCTTTCAGAAGCTGAGGATCCACAAGCAGAATTTTCTCCCCTGGCAACTAAAAACAGTCAAGTTATCTTCTGTATAGTACTCTACCAAAGAAAATATCCTGGTGAAATCTCTGCGGACGGACTGACGTAAACACCCAGTCGCGAAGGTCATTGTCAGAGTTGTATGCAGCGGGTGCATTAGGTCCTTGATTTTTGGTGTACCATAAGTCTTATGTTACTAGTGTTTGTAGTGTGAAGACAACTGGAGCACACAGTGCAGTTACACTTTAAACAGTGCAAAGTGACCAATTCGCAGAACCGAAACACTGAAGCACTTGAGAAAAAACACGAAGAATAGGAGTTAGACAAGAAGTAAATTATTATAGCAACAGCGGATACACATGTAAAAGTGAAAATCCAAGTTTCAAATGCATTTGTTAGTCATTTACGTTCATTACATCTATGTCAATGGATAATCGGTCCATTACATTGATGGGGACCGTATCAACAACCCAATACAAAGAGATTTCCTTCTCTATAACGGTGTAGCAGTAGGTAATTCACCAGAATTATTGGTCACAGCATTCACCACTCAACGGTGAATGCTGGCCATGACTGTTTAAATAGATTTGTTCAGCTGAAGGCTTACGGTCAAGCATTCACGCCATAAAGTATGCCCTTCTGTTACGTTCTTTCGTTCGTGCGCGATCCCCATCTAGCTATGCAATCATCTTATATTCCTATTTGGCCCCAAAATATAATTCGTAGTTTGGACGATCAATCCTATTGTTTTGCTTTGCCCCTGTTCTACGCGAAACGAACAATAGAGAAGTCGTGGGTGTTAGATCTTGCATTAGAATTCTCCGTAATATCCGTTAAGGTCAATACTCTCAGTCTCTAAAATGGCATTCATATCGTGATGAAGCCGCTGTGAAAAATACATGTTACTATGGCGAGTGTTTTATCAAGGCAGTTTGTCTGTTAGCTTACAGCAATCACTGTGGCATTTACCTTTGTAAAGTTTCAGCTTCCCTTTCAAAGAGTCCACCGTTTGGACTGATCCCGATAGTGATTTTAATTGTCTGATTCCATTATGGATAAAATTTTACTATGATAAAATTACACAGTGCTATGCAGTAATATTTATCAACTATGTTTCGACCACAGCTTATTGCTCATAATCATATCAAGGAACTTCCGTAAAATTCTTCGATTAAATGATAGATCACTACTTATTATATGACTAATAAATAATCTTGCTGATAAAAGCCATATACTTTCCCCAGTCTTCTGAAATAAACGTAAATTTTGCCGGATTTCCATGGTTTTTCGATTCGTCGGTGATAAAGCTTGAATTCGGAAAGCGACAGAAGTCGAAACTCACAAATCACTGAATTCTGGCCGAAGTGGCCGAACGGTTAACTTAGCTGTCCACTACCCTCCGATTTTCAGTGGCCCTCTAAATGATATTGATTTTTTTGGGTGATGCGTTGTCGGCTGCTTCTTTACCAGAAATCCCTGTCACCTATTCATTTTTTAGTATCGATTAGGCGAAGGCAGATGCTGAGTGAAGGTTTTCAATGACATGACAAGTTTCGCAACCGCATAGAAGCACTGATTTTATACATATATATGTATAGTTCATATCGCGTTTTTTATGCCAAATGGAGCGTATTTGGACGTTGGTATGAGAGAAATGAAGATCTTTCTAGCTTTTGCAATCCGATGTTTGACGCCCTTTTTTTGACATTCATGGCTTAAACGATGCTGCGCAGATAAGTATGAGAAAAAGCTTCCTTAGGATTGGATCTGTTTACGGATATTAGTGCCTGGTAACATTTACGTATCTTCATCAACTTTGTCCTTCCTAAGCTCATCTAAAGTCCTGCCTTCACTGCTTGTTCTTTCGCTTGTAGGTCCTCGAGTTTCCACTATATGGAATATTAATTAGCTGAGAAGTCCAAATCTGAGGATGCTCTGTCATTCCAATATATGCACTTTTCTTCGCTCCCAATCGCCTAATTAACCAGAATCAGGAAGTTTATCAGTGATGGTGGAATGCCTCTTCTTAGTACAGTCACCACTTCAAATGCTACAATAAGCTTCCCGTTGTGAATCACTTGTAATATGGCGTTACCACACATCTGCTGTATGACTTTTATGAATCATAGTGTTAAAGAAGATTCCAGATTACTCAGAAGTCAGCGCTGCGTTGGACCTTTAGCAGCTCTATGAAGTTACGACACACGGATGGTTGTCACTCCAGCTCCTTCCCACGATGATTCATGGTGTTATGATTTGACTCGTGTATGACTTCCTCGCTAGAAACCAGCCCATTATGAGCACAGCCTTCAATTGATGCGTGTTTCACGTTTTCTAGGATGGCACCAAATAATAATTCGTTTGCAGTGGATAGGAGGGTGATTTCGTAACATCTTTCGTTAATACCTCGTGCCACTCCTTTATCCGTCTGATAAGATATCCCCTCCCCATCCGGCAAATAACTTTCCATTCTTTCAAAACTTCTTTAATAGTGGGATGTGAAAATCCGATAGAATTCCCAAGGATTCCACCTGGTTTCTAGGGTTAAATGCTATATCCCTAGCTCCTGCTACATTAAGACTTATAAGCTGGTTTGTGGACGCACATTCAACATATGGTCAAAATGTAGAGTCTTTCTTTATTGTGGTCAGTGGTTTCACTACTGCACTGCTTTCTACCATGAGCCTTCTTGGTCTTTCTAGATGGAAACAGCTGATTCAAAATGCACCCACGTAGTGGAAGCATAAGCAGCACGAGCCAACTAGTTACAAGTGGGGCGGGAGTCACCCTTCCAAATATTGGTTTAACTAATGAAGTTCTTTGAACGTCCAGCTGAAAGGTTCTTATGGTCTGAATTTTCTGCTGGCGTTTGAACGATTCTGACAGTAAAACGGTCAATATATATCTATCGTTATATGGTGACTGGCACTGTCAGGTCGAGTGCGTTGACGTTAGCTTGAGTGCACTCCACCAAATTGTGGTTCTATTTTATGAATTACGCATGCTGAACCATTAACTCTTTCACTGATTCGTAATGGTTAATTAAATAAAAGATCCACGATCCTGGTCACTTGTTAATCTCATGACTGACAGCACACCTCTGCTCGATACAGTAGGCAAAACGTCTTCCACAACATGTGAAAATGCGTCACACAGCATGCCAGGACGGCACGTAGTTGCTCCTAGTTGCCTTGTCGCTGCCATCTCACGGAGATGGAACTGAGGGAAAGAATATGCTGACAACAGTTGGCAGCAGCACTTCTACAAACCTAGCACATGTTCCTGACGTAAGTCTCTTCAGTAAACTTCATGTACGTGTCACCAAACTCCAGATACCGAATCCAGTGTCGATGCTTCAAAAATATATTGGTTAGAGCTGTCTCTGTGAGGGCCGAAGGCCGAAATACAGGAAATTATGTTTAGTAAGGCTATGAGCACACGATGTTCAGAAAACTTGACACAGAACCGCTAACCAAGGTAGACAACCTGTGAAGTATCATCACAACAAAGGTTAGCACGAGACTATGAACAAATTCATGTGTGGTAGTTTAAAGAGTACCCGGTATTGAAGGGCTAAGAAAGTCCAAGGCATCTTGCTTGGGGTAGCGAAAATGCTTAACTTCAACAGGCTGAAAGAGTCATCATGACCGCTGCTGCCCTATAAGCCTGCAATTTGAAACATATCCTATTACAGGATACGAAAATCAAAATTGTAATAGATAAGACAGCGACTTAAAGGTACATTTACAATCACCGCAGCAAGGCCAGTGGTAAGCAGAATAAGACATTGCAAGTCACCGCCATAGATGAACTCACACTCAATGCGGTGGAACTCGTGATCTACCGACTCTCAAGCCTGATAGGGATAGTTTCACGAAATACTATGCTAGCTTATATGGATGCAATATCTCCATAGTGAATGTAGCTGAGTGATGGTGTCTGAATTTAACCACCCCCCTGTTGGTTCATATGAATGGTTACTACAGGGACCTCTAAATGTTGGACAGTAGCACAACAATCAGGGATAATCTATGTAAGTCCTTAGTGTATGGCTCTACCTTACAGTCCCATTACCTACGTCTGATTTTCACTCAGTCTGCAGTGATTATACTTCCTATCTTTAAGGACCACTTCATCAACACGAAAAATACCAACCAATACCACCTAGTATTTGAGTCATATAATCCAATGCAAACGCCTCAAAACTATATGACCAATAAAGGTTCAGTCAGAATTTAGGTTCGAGACAATTCGACGCTCGCTCGAAACGTACCCGCACACGGACTTTCCATGGGGCATATGATGACATTTATAAACGTATCCACCAATGTCGGTCACAGCGACCTCCAGATTTTCATGTTTTATTCGCTCCCATCAGCCTTTGTCACCTCTTCTATTCCACTTGCCGGCCATAGAACATGGAAACTTCACAGCACAGAAAATTGAATAAACAGACCCGTTTTTCTCTGGAGTCGAAGAGACGAAACGAATGAGACTGCTGAAAGACTTCAGCCAGTGTATCTTCTTCCAATAAAAGCGGAATTATAAATGGAGACATGGAACATCGGCTGAATACACGAAGTGTTACAGATTTTTCATATTGCTAAAAAGAGGAGAACCTGCGGTGTATAAATGCTTGGAGCCAGTGAGAGCGGAAGGAATGGAAGTGGACCTTTGAGTTAGTTATTCTTGCCAGTTATCAGTCTACTCGGGGCACCCGGAGGAAAACCACGAGTACACTGAAGTATCGCATTCATTGAGAGCCAATGTCCTCGAGGATGTCGACTGCAATATCATATTGAAACGGGTAGGAAATTTGAAATCGTCCGGTATAACACAGGTGTCAAAACGCAGACTTTGTGCAGAAGTAGAAAGACTCATGCAAACAATAATAGATAAGGACCCAAAACGCGTGAGGATAATCTCTACCGAGGAGTACTCTTCACGGGTCGTGAAACTCCCCACTAAATGAATCAGAATAAGGAACTCCTGACAGATTCGCGCTCCTTCAGTGATTAATTGATTGGATGTAATGCCTGTAAGCACAAAGACACCCACAAAGCGACAGAGTTTCTGCCACATGAACACACCGAATGTTGAGGAGACACCTCATAATCAAGGAGGTGTGGAGGCGGCCTGCTGGAAATGAAGCGGGA